TGGGCGACTACTAGATGCCGGGCATTTCCGCAAGGTGATTGGCTGCGGCACGTTTCTCGTGCCGTTTGGTCTCTTCATGCTTAGTGTCGTACACCCCAGCGACATCGAAGCCATGGCAAACTTTGGTGCTATCTGGGTCACTCAGGGCTTCGTTGTTGGCCTCGGCATGGCAACTTTCTTTGTATCCAGTTCTCAAGGTAAGCAAAATCCATCAGGTCATGTCGGAATCAACGCTAATTTGACCCAAGTTGCTTCCACATGGTTCCCCAAGCGCAGAGGACTCGCCGTAGGCTACGTTGCCTGTGGTGCTAGCGTAGCTGGTGTAATCTACCCCACCATGCTTCGTTACCTCATCGACGCTGTTGGTTTCAACGACGCTGTCCGTTATGTTGCAACCCTCACTTCGGTGACATGCATCTTCTCGTTCATCTTCTGCACTCCAGACCCAGCCCACGAGCATCATACACCGAAGACATGGGGCAATATCAGAACATGGGTTGACATGGAGGCTTTCCGCAACAAATCCTGGTGCTGGTTCACCGCTGGTGTTGCTTTCATGTTCTTTGGCTTCTATCCCGTCTTCTTCAATCTTGAGGAAGTAAGTCCTTTCCCCTCTCCGTAACCGTTTCATCAGCTAACGTCGCTCAGTGGGCATCAGTACGCGGATTTGGCACTCGTGAACGGGTCAGGTCACCAATCACTCCCACAAACCCAACCGATCAACCTTTGCAGACATTCTGGCTTCTGGTCATTGTCAATGGTGCCTCAACCGTCGGACGTATGCTTTTGGCTCATTTCTCAGACAAAATCGGCGCCATCAACATGCACATCGGCTCTCAGTTGACTGCTTCCTTACTGACGCTGTTTCTCTGGACATTCGCAGGGTCGGAGATGGCTGCTCTCGCATTCTGTGTCGTATTTGGTGTCTTTTCTGGCATGGTTATTGGCCTGCCCCCGGCGTCTATCGGCAACATTCTCAATTGCTCCTATACTGCGCCAGATACAAGACACTTTGCAAAGAAGAAACTCGGCCACTGGACTGGCATGATGTACACCTTTGCTGCAATCCCAGCCCTCACAGGACCCATTATTGCTGGGCACCTCATCACCCGTTACCAGACCTACCTCACAGTTCAATTGTGGTCCGGCACTAATCTGTTGCTCTCATGTGCTTGCATGGCCGTGTCACGCTGGTATCTTCCATGCAGCAATGGTCAGCGCATTGGGCAAGTCCTCAAGCTCAAATGCGGCAAATCCGACATGTCTGAGAAGCGGAAAAGTAGTGATGGTGCAGAGTCATCGCCTGACCCATTGTCACAGGCTCCAACTCGCGTCCCCAGCAACGACGTCTCACGAACCGCATCTTCCGAGAGCATTTGTGATCACCAAGGCCGCATGGCCTAGAGTCTTTTGTTCTTTTTTTTTTGCACATGATTCCCCGATTTCTCTTTGCTATTATATCTGTACTCTCCTCCGCGGTTTGTGAAGCGTTGTTCGACACGAGACATGACTTTTCATATAGACACACGTAGGGTTTACTGGATTGTTTGATTTGTCACGACTCTGTTGCTCTGTTTTTTTTCCTTGTTCTTTGGCAGTTTCTTTTTCGTTTTCTCAGGAGGACACATCGAGGGCTTTCCCCTTCACTTACGAACATGTCTTGTCCACGAGAGAAGCACGCTCCTTTTTTTCGAGACAACGTAGGCGCAGGGAGCTCCTCGATACATGGGTTGAGCATCAGTTTACGGATTGCACGAATTTAGAAATAAAAGGCTTTTGATTCTGGACATCGTTGTGTTTGCGATCGTGATGGCCTTCCCTACTCTGTATCTGTGCTCACCACTTGAAGCAACTACGTACACCATCTTTCGCTCCGACCTTCTTCGCATTTGCTTCACACTCACACCTCTTCCTCCCACCTTCTCGCCCCGTCCACCCTTCCTCCGCCAAGCTTGGGCCGCAACACCAAGCGCTTTCTTTCCCTGCTTCAGCGGTCCAGCAAACAAACCACGCACCCGCCGCGCAATTGCGCGAAATCCCTCGCTTCCAAACAATCCCCCCATATTACACCCACTACCATCACCGCTCCACCCTGCATGCGCCGAAAACCCTCCCCAACAACGGCACTTTTTTCCTTCCCCCCCCCTCCCCATCCGCACTTCACATGCCACGGTAAGAATTCACCGGGCAAATCCGGAAGCCAAACCAAAATACCCACCCGTGCTTTTTTTTGTCTTGTCTGCCTCCGTTCCAAACGCAAAAAGTAAAAAAAAGGTGGTTAGTCACATAATAGAGCATGTAGTACGGTCTTTTATACGGTAAAAAAAAAACAAAGCAAAGGCAAAGCACTGAGTTCCCTCCTGCTCCCCCTTTGCGAATCCGAAGTGCTGTAAGCGAAGGAGGGATGGGGAGGGGTGAACGATGGGCATGTGTGTTTGGATGTGTACTTATTTACGTATTCAATGTATCAGTGCGCGCATGTACTTTCGTTTTCCTGCCTTTTCATTTTTGTTTCTTTTCGCAGAAGGGAAGTTGAATACGGTGGTTTTGGGCACGTGGGTATGGCATCATTGCCGGGGGAGGGGGGCACGGGGTGGATGATGTGGCCGTTGGAAAGGGTGGGACATGTATTGTAGGGGTAAAGTTTGGTAGGGGTGGTTAGGGCTGCTTGTTTAGTTTTTTTGTGTGAGCTTGTGCGTACACGTTTGTTTCGGCATGGGTGAACGGCGTGCCTGTGTCTGGTGATTACGTTTTGTGCTGGCCTTTGTTGAGTGCCTTGGCTGATGTGGGGGTGGCAATCAGCCGGTGAGGAAGGGGAAAAACAAGTGTCGAGAAATGGGAACGTGTGTCGCTGTGGGTTGGTGAGCGGACGGCGAGGAGTTTGTTTTTGCTGTTTGGTGCCGGTGTACCGGTGTGAGGGAAGGGGAGAGAATGGTTGGTCATGTTGGATCTTGGAATCTTGGATCTTGCTACCAAGATTTCCACATGGTTTGTAGAGTGATTTGGTGTTGCTCTCCAGCCACGATAGAATACACGCGCTTGTTGGTCCGAAAGAGCGGACTGATAGCAGGTCCCTCGTTGTAGTGCATAGACGAGGCACCACTGGTACCCTTGACCATTGGTATTTGACATAGTCTGGGGAAAAGGTAGGTTGTGAACCGCGATGCAGAATTATCTATTAAATTTACGGTACCGACCGTTTCGAAAGTGAATTCTCAACCACCGATTCAATCGACGATGCCAATGCAGGTGCTCTTGGAGATGCAGGACAGGCTGTGGTATCACAAACTTCGGCATTATTGAGTGCCCAATTTCTAATTTAAATTCTGTGATACGCTTGTGTCTACACACTATCTACTTATTTTCCCGGATACATTTGCTACCTTATTTACCAATGTGCCACAGGCCCGCCATCGCTCAATGAAACAAACTATGCATACAGGCTAGCACTAGTACAGTGTACAGCATTTTCTCGGCATATTTTTCATCATCAAAAGCCACAAAATCTGCGAATACATCTCAAGAAACGCCATGAGTATAATGACATGACCAGAGATTTTTGGCAGTTACCAAAGCCCACCACTGATGTTGCACCACTTGCATCGATGTAACCTTCGACACCGTTTGACTTGCCGTATATATCCTGTCCACGGACTACTGCATCTATGACTGCACGTGTAATAACAGTCGGGACGCTGTATCCGGTACAAACCAGTCTCCCGAAAGTCCAGAACCGTGCCATAGGCCAAACCATAAAGTAACGCACGCGATGGCTTAACGGTTCAATCGTCTCGGCAATCGCGGTCATGGCTGCAAAACGTAAGGCAGAGGGGGGAAGGGGAACATACATACTTAGAAAGGGCAACTCAAAGTTAGCGCCACGCCTACTATGGCTGGCAAGGGTGGGCTCAAAAGTAACTCTGCGGCTAACAAACTAACCACTACGACGGGACCCAAAGCAAAAGAATGACCAAGAATCATTTGGTCACGCATAAGACTTTTCTGGGGCTGGAAAAGGCGTTATGTAGATCACTTGTATACCGTTTTCCGCCGGTGTTTCTACAAACTCCTTGGCGATTTTTGTAGCGCAACATTGGCAAAAGGCTTACGCTAGCTTTGATTGTTTTGGAGTACCGTACATGGTGCAGCCTTAAACTCACATGCTTACACACTGCACAATCACCCGGAATGAAATAACTAGATGATCGCATACCAAGGAAGTCTAAATGCCTCTGCTCGAGCTAAGACTTGCACACCAGTCCATACGACTAGATGTATCCGATAAAATACGGGAGAAGAGATACACGATGCTTATCATGATTCTCCCATCTTACCTCTCTCCTTGAAAAAAAAACCCCCTCGGGAAGGAAACAATGCATCTCGTCATCACAATCTACACCTACATACCATGCCAACTTAGCCAAGCCCAAGTCCTTACAAAAAGAACTCGCTCATCTGGCAGCCTCCGGTAACACAGCATGTCACTGATAAATTGAGACCACCTCCATCTCGGCACTTGTAAATATACGATTCCATACATACATTCTATGCACATGCACATCATCCACCAGCATATGCATACATGGAAACCTCACCTCGTGAATATCACTCCCCCCCACTACTCTCCGCCTCCACATCCTCTTTCAAACAGCAGAGAAACCCGCATACCGTATGATGAAAGCAATATATAAAGCAGAACCGTGATATGTATCCCACATGCACAGCCACCCGCCGCGCGCCTCAAAAGTCTTGGCGCGTGACATTTCCGCCATGTCGATCCTTTTAGCGGGGCTTGGTGGGGGGGGCGGATTTGCTGTTTCCTTGTTCCGCCTGGATCGGAGCTGCGGGCGAGGTCATATGACGAGAGAGGGTAAAGATGGATGAATGAATGACATCAGTTGCGCAACTTGCCAGTACTAAGCCCTCTTCTCCATTTCAAACATTTGCGAGGGAAAAAGAGAAAGGGGTGGGGGGGATAAGTGGTATTTTAACTTGAAAAAAAAACGACAAGCGATTGATGAAAGAATTCGACCTGTTGTATTAAAAAAGCCCATACACACACACACCCTTTTCCCACCACAATACTCATAAAGGAATAATGCAAGTGGATATCTCAACTCGCTCACAGAAGAAGCATTTTGCTCAAAACCAACCCGCACGAAAGCCAAAATCACAACATTGAAAAATTAAAACACACCCGACACGAACAAAAAGTTGTCAGAAGCAACACACATAGACACACACACACACGCACCCTACAATTTTCCTGCCCCCAAAATCACTGCGCTTGCTTCGTCATACTCGGCGTCTGGACCCCAGGTTGAGCAGTGTGACCTGCGATTTCCAAGACACTGGTTGAACTTTCATTTCCGCCCTGCACAGTCATACCCAGGGCTCTTCGTGCGTACTCTTTCTGGCCCATTGCTGCTTGTTCGACAGGAGATTGTCTATTACCATTGCTGTTTGTGGGTGATTCTGCAGCAGCAGGCTGGAGCCACTCTACGCTGGTACATCGATTCACAAGTCGAACGGTGGTCTCGTCTACGGGCGCGAAATGGTTCCCGCTTGACACGAGGAGGCGGAGGAGACGCAGCAGTTCGTCGCGTTTGTAATGTGGCGGTCTGCTGATTTGGCTGTGCAACAGTATCGGATGGAGGACGCGAAGATATGTGTGTCGTAATGCGTTTGCAGCGGCCGAGTCGTGGGGGAGATCAATGAGGTTCCGGAGAATGACGTCGACCAACACGTGGAGATCGTTTGTGTAAAAATATTCAGCGGTCGAGGGGTTGCCGAAGAGAAGGTAAAGCACTTTGAGAATAAGAAGCTGAAGGGACGTCTCCGACTCCCGGTTCAGAAGAAGAATCAGATTACATCCAAAGGTCTTGTAAGTCATGCCGTGGGTGGATATAGCTTTGATGACGCGATTTGTCATGCCAGCCCGTCCGTCGCTGTAACGTGTGGTAGATGCCACCAGATACTGCTCGTTCAAAACCAGCTACCCGACAGTCAGTTTAGCACCTCAAAGTTTCTGGAGTAAACCCACAAGTACACGAATCACCGGGTAGTGATAAGGGTCGTCTGCATCGTCAGAGGCACCTTCTATAATCCCCAAAAGGTAAAGAATGAAAGCATCATTCACAGCCACTACACGCCAATGTTAGCACTAGCCGCTGGCAGCAGGTTGTAAGACAAAAATGATAGACGCACTGAGATCATCATAGGTCAGTCGCTGGATACGCGAAGACTCGTACAGCAATTGCAGCAGCAGCTGATGCAATGATGTTTCCTCCTGAACACTCTCCTTTTGCACCAACTCAACCAGCCTTGCAAACGTGCCCTCGGAATGCATCATCTCGAATACCTCGTCATCTCTGCTATTTCGACCATCGTACAGGAGAAACGCGGCGACCATGTGAAGTGTGGGATTGTCATCTTCCTGTATCCTTGGTCAGCCCCCTCCGGAAGCCAACGTTGTCCAGCACCTCTATCCCACATACTTGCAACAGGCAATATATTATCTGCCGCCGTACGTATTGTTTATTCTTGGCAAAGAGCTCGCCCTCGAGCATGCGAAAGATGCATTTTGCAATGCTATAGTCGGTTTGGAGATACTCGGCTGCTTGCGGTCAACGACTTGAATCACGGCAGGGGAACCCGGGCGGGGGAGCGCAGCAGAAACAGCAGCAGCAGCGTACATTTGTAACTAGTCGTGACATTGAGAAAAGACCGTAGTGAGTTGTCGATTATCTCATGCTGGTGGCAGCGCGTGGAAACGATGTCGTCGAGTTCTGTATGTGTGTGCCGCGCGAGTTAGTTGGAGTGGCTGGTTGGCGGGGTTGCGAGACTGTGAGTGTGGCTCTCCGCAGTCTCTCTCTCTTCTGTCTCTTTCGCACACTTTCACACTCACCGTCCCAGAACTGTTGCTCATTCTCGAGATCATACGACACCTCAAATGCCATGTCGTAGTCGCGGGTCTCTTGCCAGAATCATCCTCCCCGGCGACGCAGGCTACCAAGGGCTGTGTGCAGAGAGGCGCAAACTGATCGTTGATGGTCAGTTGCTTGCATCAAGTCCGACGTGTCGCCGGGGATTCACCGGCCCTGGCTTAGTGCGTCACCGAGTCCGCTTTGGGCATAGTCTGCCGTGCGCGTGCTGCTGCAACACCAACGAACATCCGGCCAAGTGTCTATACTTGGAATCCAAACCTGTTGACCGTGATGCAGAGTGTGTTGGCACCTCTGGATTTTGCAATCGCATCATGATGGGCCCTTTTGAGCTGTGGCCTATTGTAGCCCTTGTCGTTACACAATTCCCCAATCCACGGTAACAACGGCAACACAGATCCATCGCTTGTATCCCTATTGGTCTTGATTTTTCCATGTCAAGTCATAGAGCGCTTAGGTATCGCCAATGAGCTTAGACCAGCTCCCTCTTATCTCGACAGTGGCAAGATTCCATTGGTGCTGGTTTCTACGCTGCGTAGCAACCTCAATTGTTATTTTTGATGTAAACACAGCTTCAGTGCGAGAATATGAACGAATAGCAAGAAGATTGATGAATCTAAGCACATATACGTTACAATGCGACAAAAAAACACCCTAAAAAAGATAAAAAGGACACCAAAGAGACAAGGAGGAAAAGGTAGTGGGGTCCTTGGGAAATGGATGTTGCTCCATTTGCATCACACCCCCCACCACGTCACATTGCCTACCCACGCCCTTTGACTAACACAGCATCCAACACCCAAGCCTTCGATTCCTACAATAGGAAACATATCATGTAATCTCCTCTCCCCACAAAAAGGATACATGCATAAAAATCTCTCTTGGGCCCCCCACGCCCTATGCATGCCAATCACACCACAATTCTTGTGCACTTGTGTATAAAAAGCTTGCCTTTCCCCCCCTTCCATTTACGCCATATCTCCCAATCCATCATAAGAACGAACAAACCAGTGACTTGTTTTGGGCTTAGGATGTTTCTTTCTTCCTAATCTAGGCTCTTCGTATACGAGTTAAGCCAACTAACCAATACAACCCATTAATCCCGCAACCAGCCTCTCTCTCTCTCTCTCTCTCAACCCAGACGCCTTTACTCCTGATATAGTATTGAAAATAAAAATAAAAATCTGGCCTTATCTTATTAACCCAACCAACAAAGCTCCAAGCCAAACCACATAGTCTTTTGCAGCAGACCAGGGGCATACATGTAACTAACGCTGGGTATAAAGTGAAAAAAGTGAGAGAGGAAAAAAAAGGTTACGAGGCCTAAGCTATACTTACTGGAAAAAAAAAACTCTATTCTTCGATTCAACGTAAATTAGTATCAAAGAACCCCCCCCCCCCCCCCNTTAGAAGTTGGAGGAAAAGCGAAACAGTAAAACTCCAGTGATTTAGCCAGTAAAGGTCGAATAACGAAAAATTAAAAACAAAAAAAAGAGATAACAAAATTCGTCTTCATAAGTCTTAAAAGTATTAAATCTGGGGTAAAGGATATTTCATTCCCCCCCCTACCCATCATATATACACCATGTATTCTCATACCCATCTCTCAGGCTTTAACCTACCTACCTACCTACCTCGTAGCCTCTGCCGCCCAAACCCGGGCCAACGCCCTCCTAAGCTCGTCGTCCTTCTTGCCCAAGACGGCAATCCCCCTCTCGACACACGCGCGCTTCACCTCGGCAGCATTCAACGCGCCAAGCCCACCATCTCTCTCAATGAGCCTATAATCCGTGTCCAGGTAGTCCAATTTGCGCCTCACACTGCGCTGCACCCACCATTTCGGCGGCGCAAGCGGAACCCAATCAAAGACCAGCGGATACACATCCAGCTTGGCAGCCAAGACACAGAGTTCAAAAAGGCTCATATCGCTCCACTTGTTTCCCTTGGGAATTGCTTCAGACAATGTAGTAGTAGTAGTAGTAGTGGGAATAGTAGCAGGCCGATCCTTGGCCAACAAGCGCATAGATGCCAGACTAATCCTACGAAGGCGATCCTGGCGCTTATCCTCGCGCTTCCGCAGCGTCCGCTCGACTTGCTGCGGTATACGACACACCTCTGGTATAACGGGCGTGAGGTACACCACCACCACGGGCAGCCACTCGCCCAGCAGGAGCATCAAGACGCCAAAGACGGGGAGGCGCAGGACGTCGCGCCTGCTGCGCCGTACGACTTGCCATTCTGCTCTGGTCAAGACATCAGTCGCTGCCTTTTTGGGCCTGTGGGCAGACGCTTTTTTGCGCAGCGACTTTGCCAGTTTGGCCGTCTGGCGCACGTGCGAGATGCCTTTTTTGTAAAAAGCCAGGTATGCGCGGCCGGCGCTCCAGAGCCACTTGATCAGGTTCTGGTCGGGCTTGCGCGCGGGAACGGAGATTTCGGGGGCGTAGGCAAAGGGTGGGGGGTTGACTTTCTCTATCGCTCCGAGGGTTGGGGCGGTGGTGCTTTTTGACGGTTGTAGCGGCGCTGGAGGAAGAGTGGAAGGAGAATTCCGCGCCGATTGTAGAGGTCGCGGGGGGCTTGTCTTTGCAGGTGCTCTTGTGTTGTTGGTCTTGCTTAATGGCGGAGGTGCTGTTGCGATATTGTGACCTGTCCTTTTCGCAGGTGCTGCTGACGACGAGGCATGCCGCCTGCCCTGCACTCCAACTATCTTTTCATATCCCGCTTGTGGTGTCGTGTACTGTGACCTCCCATGCCATATCTGGCAGCTCAACCCTGTTGTGGTAGCCCGCGTGTATAAATGTCGATGACGTGGTAATCTCGCAAATGCGCCATTCAACTGCAGAGGTTTTACAAAGGTGGAAAACATCGGCCGGGATTTCATCGCAAAGCCTGAGTCGTGTGGCTACAGCGACCTGTAGAGAACTCAAGCAATCGTCGATGGTTGGCTTTTTCTAGTTGCGACGTCGCCAATACGCGATTTCAAAAATCTGTCAATGCACCGTTTTCTCGCGATGTCATCACACTTCGCGTCAACGCTAACCCGACTAGGTAAACCAATTAATCTTCTACATGGACGTCATCTTGAATAATATCATCTTGTACTTGATGCGAGCTTCTCAATTTGGGCAAGAAATTTCAAGCTATGATTCATTGCTAATTCTACATCTTGCGCTACAGCCATATCTCGATCGCATTTTTACCGGTTGCGCCAATTAATCCCCCTGAAAATAAACCCGCCTGTAAACGCTGCAGATAACTCCGACCAGGGATCAAAAAAAAACCAGAGAAAAGGTTCGGTCCATACATGATGAAATCGTTAGTGTTGAGCGCCCCATGTGATCTTCCAAGTGGAATTTTAGGAAATCCATAAAATGATGAAGGAAACTACCGTACATGAGAATGAAACAAGACAGGAATAAATACAGATAATCTCGCTGTTGCGAAAAAAGTACAAGAAGTAAGCCACAGTTGCAGGCATGGATCTAGTCATTGTGAAGAGGGCCGTATCTGGAGCTTTTAGAACCCGCTTGGTCGGGATTGGACAGTCGCTAGAGCCAATGGTGTAGCTGGAGATTTTTGGCGCTGTCAGGGCGTGTTGCATGGTTTCGGTACGTTGTTGGATCGGGTCTTGTTGCGAGGGCCTTGGGATGTAGCGAGGGCGAGGGGGCGAGGGCGAAAACACTGGCAGAATGGGCCCGGATAGTGCTACAATGGGCTTCGTGAGCTGGTTCGACAAGGGCTTGGCCTTAAACTTCGCGGGGGGATTTGGGTGGCGCAGTTGAAGGAATTGGGGTCTACAAATATGTCGACTGCAAACGCGAACGGGAGTGATACACAAGACAGGGTAATTGGTAGTAATGGCGGAGATTTTTGGAGAGGGTGGACGTTGGGGACAGTCGTCCTGCGTATCTAAAATGCTTTTTGGTGTATCCGAGAACGGTCCATGTCAGCGTTGATACTGAGCAAGCTGGGCCATGATCTCGTTCATGTCTGGGGCAGGCCCAGGCTGTGCGGGAGCCTGGACGGGTGGGGCAACCGTCTGGTTCTGGTTCTGGTTGGCAAGGAGCGAAGCAAGTGCGGGGAACTGGCTATTCAACTGCGCGAGATGGGGTGGAGGCGCTGGTCCAAAGCCCGGGGTTTGGGCAGGGCTTGGTACTTGTGCAAGGAGTCGCGCCAGATCTGCATTCAGCCCCTGGTTGGCCGTTGGTTGCGTGTTCTGGGCCATGTTACTACCAGACATTGCACCGAGCAATTGCGACAGGCTAGCCCCATCAAGCGAGGCGATCAAATTGGAAATGTTAGGTTGACTGGCGGGAAGAGGCGGGAAGGCAGTGTTGGGCTGGGAGTAATGCGGTGGCATGTTGGGAGGAAAGTACGAAGCAGAGGGCGCCATGTTGGAGCGAGACTGAGTTTGTTTGGCGTTGTTGACCAAAAGACCGGCTGTTGTTGGATCCAGATCGGCATACTCTGAGAAGGTATTAGTGGCATTCGTGGAAACTGAAACAAAGTACTCACCGTTGAATTGGACATTGTTAGCACCTGCACGCCGATCAAATATCTGAACGCTGACTTTGCCCTTTGCTAAGCCTGTAGTGTCGAGTCTTACAATAGCCAGAACGCCCTCTAGAATCTGTCTTCGGACCACGGCTGGCTCGGGGAAACGACCACTTAGTATGAGCACGTTACTTCGTAGACTCTGTGAGCGGAAAGTATCCTCGACGTAGCGGATGAAATCTCTGTTGGAATGTCAGTACTGTTTTTTTTCCTCTTTAAATCAAAGTTCTCAAGGATTGACATACCGAGGGAGACCTTCGTTAAGAACAAGGATCTGAATATCAGGTACTTCGTGAGGCAGTCGGCGACGAAGGTCCAGCCCGTCCTCTGTGTAATCGCGACGCGGAGATGGGCTCCGGTGCCGCCGGGGCGGTGTCCTTGATCTGCTGCGGTACCGCGTGTCGAACCTGTCACGACTCCTGTCCCGCGATCTCAGGCCCCGTGCGGGGCCCCGAGGTGAGGGCGATCGCATGGGTCGGTAATCATCCCGGTCGCGGAAACGTCGATCTCTATCCCGAGGGGACATGGAGTTTGGGTGTTGTCCATAGCGATTATCCCTGGGCGAGGGCCCGGTGCCACCCCTTGTATAGTCTGGCGACCGTGAACGCCGGCGCGAAGCGGCGATTGGTGGGTCAGTCTTTTTGGTGTTTCGCTGAGGTTTGGAAATCTCGAGGTCTGGGATGGTTAGTTTGGCCGCACACTACATGTCCATGGAAATGTTGACATACGCATTTTCCTTCCACGAACTGCCTGTCCTTGCTCAGTATCTAGTGCTCTGCGACACGACTCGGCGTCTAGAAACTGGACAAAACCATATGCCTGCTTGATTGATATCTGTGCAAGTCTGCCATGACGGTAGAAACGATGAAAAATGTCGCGCTTGGTAACTTTTTCTGTGGGAAGATTGCCTTTTTTTTGGACCTGTTAGTCGATAGCTTTGGCATAGGAGAATCCACCTTGGCTCACCAATAAAAAGTCGAGAACCCACGGGGAACTGATCCCACTGGCCTTCAGTGACAAATTTTCGTTCCTGCTCCAAAAACTCTTCATATCTCCTGTTCACTTCGGGCGGCCATCGCTGATCCTCATCATCAGGTGTTGTACTGCGCTGGGTTTGCTGTTGAGCCTGGCCAGAGAGATTGGAGCCGGCAAAGTCGCGGTTCTGCGCATTCAAGGGCTGGAGAGATGCACTGCCTCTCTGCTGGACATTGGATGGTCTCTGGCTGTGTGGATGATGGGATCTGATGTCATCGTTGGGGTCATAGTTGGGGTGCGTAGCGGGCTGTTCTTGGGTGGGCGGCCGAGCAGGCAGATTGGTAGCAGCCGAGGGCAACGACGAGGCATTGTGCTGCTGTGGCTGCTGTGGCTGCGTGGGCATGTGGGAAGCAGCAGCATATTGGCCCGGGTTGGCCGTGGTCGCAGCGGGCGTCAGAGAATCCAACAGGGCTTGAACGTCAACATTGGGCCCAGTGTGCGCTTCAGTCTGGTAGTGAGCGCCTTGGGCTGACTGAGTCGGCGCGTGCTGAGCGGCATAGGCACTGTCATGGGAGTATGGGTACGCAGAGTGGAGGTCTTGAGCTTGCGCCTGGGGCGCATCAGCGGCCGAGGCAGGATGCGACGGATGCTGCGAAGAGAAATTCTGCATTGAGGAGGTAGCGAGCGGCTGCGTACCCATGCTGCTGACGCCATAGCCCGTCGACGGGGCGTATCCCGCCGGCGCATTGTCCCTTCCCCCTGGTGCTGCAGGCCCTGCTAAGTGTTGGTAGGCGGCGGTCGACGATGACTGCTGCTGCTGCTGCTGCTGCGAGTGGTCGGCAAAGTAGGGGGCGGAGGTGATGGCGTTGGGGGGTTGGTGGTGCGCATGCTGTGCAAAGTGGTCGGGGGAGCCGTTGGTGTGAGAGAGATCATTATAGGCCGCATCCATGTGCTCTACGAGAATGGGGATGTTGGCGGGCGAGGGGACGTTCTGCGGACGCGGGCTCTCTGGCGTCAGCGACTGATGGCGGATGTGCTCAGCTTCCTGCGGCGGGCTGGAGGTGGGTCTCATGTAGACTGTTGGGCCAGAGCGCATGGGCTGGCAGAGAGCAGGCGGCGCGGGATGACGAGGGTCTAGGTCAACTCAAAGCATCTACGGAAACGCACCGTCGCAACAAGGGCTGGAGGGAGAGGTGCAGACGGATGTGAAGAGAGGGTGAGAAGGAGGCTGCAGGATGTGGCACACTAGGCGTGGGTGAAGGAGCTGGTGGCGGGGCTTGGCTACTGTGTGCTATGTGTGACGGTCGGAGAATGGGTACAGGATTGGCACGACGCGCAGACGCAGCAGACGTCGGCTGGGGCAGGCAGAGGAGGGCAGTGGCTGAGGACAGTGGCTGAGGACAGTGGCTGAGGACAGGCGGGCAGGCAGGCCGTGTGCGTCAGGCACGGGGAGCAAGGTGCGCGCCCGTGTGGGAGTGGCAAGGCAAGCAGGAGGCTGCGCGGATGGTGAGGGCAGGCGGGCGTCGGGGAGGGAGGAGAGGAGTCGTCGACGAGAGCGTGCGCCGGACGAGCAGATGTTGGGACTCGGCGTCGAGCCCTCCGAGACCAGCCTGGAACCGCGCACTGCCATGGCCAAGCTTCGACACGTGACGGCTGTTTTTTAGCGGCCGGGCCCGCTTGCAGGGGGAGGGCGGAGCAGCAGTCGAGTGGCTCTGTGTGGCTACAGGCGCAGGCGCAGGCCCTGTGTAGTGTACTTACTTACTACATTGCTTTGTGTAGGCGCTGCATGAGCTCATCTTGACAAACCACCGCCATGCCACTGCTGCCACGGCTGCCACGGCTGCCGCTCCAACGGCGCCTCGCTCTTCGCCCTGTCCGCTGCTGCTCCCCGGCCGCCTCCCGCCTCCCGCGGCGCATTGCCTGCACCCGCCGCTGCTCTTCGTCTTCCTCAGGCTCGCCTGGCCACGGCCCCGACGACGGCCTTGATGCTGCCCGGACGTGGCTCGCGGCCCTGCATGCACAGACAATCCCTCTCGAGACTATTGGCGAACTGACCTTTAGCAGATCATCCGGCCCTGGCGGCCAGAACGTGAACAAGTATGTATGACCAACACTTAATATTACTCGACTCAACTCTCGTCGCCGCCCGCCCGCCTAACCACATCTGCCCGTCTGCCAGAGTCAGTTCCAAGGCCACTCTAAAAGTGCCCCTCGACGCCCTGCTGCCCCACGTCCCTGCAGCGCTGCATAGCGAGATCAAGCGCCTGCGCTACCTGGCCCCACGCTCAAATACCATTGTCGTCCATGCCGACGACAGTCGCAAGCAGTCGGACAACGCCCGCAGCTGCTACCGTCGCCTGTACGACGCCATTGCCCTCGCCGGCCGTAATGCTGTGCCCACCGAGGCTTCGCCAGAGCAGGCTCGGCGCGTCAATCGCCTGTACGTTTTTGCCTTGCACCGTGTCCGACGACGGTCCAAGCAACCAACCGACCAACCGACCAACCGACGGCCCGAAAGCTGATAAGAACTCTAGCCAAAAATCCAACAACGAGCGCCGCCTCAAGACAAAGAAACTCCATGGCGCTAAGAAGTCTTCCAGACGCGCCCGCACCGATGACTGAAGCATGTACTACAATGCGCCTCTGCGGGGGAGCCCTCTTGCCACAATCCCCGCTGCTCAGGTGCACATGCAGCTGACGTGGTTGCACTCACTCCGCCATGGCACCATCTCACGATAGACCAAGTAGAGCCGTAGCGGTGTAGCAACATGGCGTCCGCTCCGCTCGGCGGCTTGACGAGACCAGACGACGGGAATGCAGGCTATGCTTGTTACAACTCATCCGCTGACTTTATGCCCACCCACCCACACACCCTTTCTCTCTCCTTTACCCTTCCATTGCTGAAATATACTTTTGCACCTCACCGTTCTCCCCCCAGTACTTGACGCCCATCTGCATCAAGAGATCTGCATCAGCTTTCTTCCCCTCCTGCTGCAGCAACTGGGCCAAGCCAACCACCCTGTCCCCCCTATCTTGCCCTTCTTCCATTGCGCGAACGTATTTGCGCAGCGCAGCACGCAATGCCTTCTGCAGCGACGAATCGACATCCGCAGATAACCGGTGCAAAGATAAGAGCCGCCGAACGACAGCTTCGGCAACCCTGCTACCTTCTCTAGGGTGTTGCTGAACGGTAGAGCTTATCACGTCCAATGCCTTGCTCAGCCTAATGGCAGTCTCGGGATCGGCGGGGTCGCTTCCGTACAACTGCATATGGAACTTGCACATGGCTGTCTCAACCGCCTGTGGTGACTGCTCTTGCAGATAACCGAGCACGTGCTGCAGCATGCGCGGTATGCACGCTACCTGCTCGAATTCGGCGAACACGCCGAAAAATCTCTCGGCCAGTCTGGCGCTACCCGCAAACTGTTTCATAGCAGAGTCAAAGATTGCCAAGGGAATAGCCCCAGTAAGTACTGGCGCAGCCGCAAGGTTCTGTAGAGCCACTTCGTCCACACCATCGTCCTGCTTCAGGCTGGGATTCACGTCTTCAGCCGTCACCTCTGGAAGCGCAATCATGTTCTCATCGCCGTCCTCGTCTTTCCTTGTGCGATCAACGTCAAGCCCCAAGATCCTCCTTCTACCCGCAATCTTGCCCACGTATATGGTCTCCAGTTTGGCATACTCGAGCCACATGACCTCGGAATTCTTGCAAAAGCGCAGTCCTCGCTGCATGTAGCTTCGCGCATTCGTAATATCCGCCTGGCTGTCCATGAAATAGTTTGCTGCTAGAATCCATACATCTGGCTTGGTAGGGTGCAGCCGAGCGACCGAGGTGAAGATGTCATTCAATCTCTTGTATGCCTTGTCTCTGCGCGCAAAATCAATGTACTGCATCCATAGCGCCAGGTCCCCCGAAAATTTCCTAGTCGCCCGGTTGTAGAGAAGGTAGATTGTCCGTTGTCCAGAGCCTTTGTACCGGACGCCTAATCGCTTTATTCGCTTTCGGCGCAGTGCGTCAACGTTCTTTTCGAATTCAATGTAGCGCATGTAGTCTTCGGGGTGCGAGCCGCGGGCATTGATAATGTGCTCGAAATCCGAGCGCTTCTTCGCTATAGAGCTGATTTCTTCCTGTTCTCACTATTAGCAAAACTGCCATTGCGCAAGCCTCGATCCTGGCTTACCCTGCTGAAGATTTTTTTGCGCTCAAGCTCATTCAGCTCCGTCGCCGACTGCTCCAGGTAGAAGCGCGCCTTGTCACTCGGTCCAGCCATGTTTGCGTCGCGTCGTGTTGCTGGCAAAAGTCGAGTATAAAAAAGTTGGCCGGGCCAGAAAACTACTAGGCTAGAGTTGCTCCCGCATATAGCGCCTTGGCCTGTGGAGCGCGGACCCTGGCCTTACTACGTACCAACTTCAGGAGACTGCCATCTTGGACAGTTCATCACGCCATTCTCCACGCTCTTTTGCTTCTTTTCCTTGTTTTCAATGCTGGAGGGTTATTGACGGGCCATCCAACCGCTGCATCATGGTCAAGGACAAGGACGGCGACACCGTCGCAACGGTACGCAATGGCATATCTGGCACTCCCGGAACCTCCGCATGCTCATTCCATACAGTTCAATGGAAAATGGATATCCTATTCGCATACCGCCATGGCCTACAGTTCGTCCATCACATCTCTCCATATACGCTTGTGCTCAAATGAATTCTAGGCGCCTTTGTCGGAGCCCTCGTAGTCGGAATGTACGCGAATTGCTCCACCACCACCACTCACACCCCACGCGACCGGGCTAAACAATCATAGAGGGCTACACTACCACAAGATTGTACAGAATGAATTCTACGTCAGTCATTGTGCTATGTTGTTTCCAGAGCCATATTGACAATCTTCCTAGGGCTACCCAGATGAGTGGTTTCCCTCCGTGTCTGCGACCATCGGCGACCGCTACCCAGAACGCTCCGTCTTCATGCTCTTCATTGCTCTTACATCCGGTATATCACCTGGGATAGCTGCTACGGAGCCAGGTTAACCAAAAAAAAATAGGTCCTCGATTCGCACTCGTCGGTCTCTGGTATGTCTTGACTCGTCGTCCGAACTCGTCCCTCCCCAAGTTCATTGCTGGGGTCGGTATCTTCCGAACATTGACCTGCGGAGGATGGACATATGTGACCTCTACCGATGATCATGACTGGCACGACATCTTCATGATCTCGTATCTTGTCGCAACCCTGCCATGGACCATAGGCTGTCTCGCGCTTAGTCCCCAGAATGCTACTGCTATCAAGTACAGAAAGATTTTTGCCGGTAGTTTCTTCGCGACACTTGTGCCGCTGATTTACTTCTTCATCCAGCACAAAGTTCACCACGTTGCTGGAGGTACGTATTTTTTGTTCATCTCATACACCCCATACTTACCTATTTACAGCGTACACCATCTATGCTTTCTTCGAATGGTCCCTAGTCTTGCTCGATGTAGCCTTTGATGCTGTCACAATGATTGAGTTCCAGCACTTTGAGATTGTAATAAAAGACGTACGAGGTCTATCTCGCGTGTATGTCCCACGTCTCCCGAAATAGATAGACTCTCAAATCTATTTTTATTTGACCACTCTCTGATCCACTCTTTTTGTAGTGCCGGCTCCAAGTCCCTCTCCGATGCTGTCCAAGAGTAAGTTTTTTGTATGCAAGAAATGCATTAACTTCTCTGACTTTTTAATAGGAAAAACCAAGAGATTGGTGCAATATTCTCCGGCGCCTTCTCCTGGTCAGGACTCATTTACGCAGCTGCAGATGTCTACAATGGAGTACGTTGAATCGAGAGATTGATGCATACATGACTGATCATTATTCAGTTTGTCTTCTGGTCCATGTTGACTTCGCTCGGCGTGTGTGTGTGGTGTATGTTCCCCATCCCTCAATAGCGACAATTCGCTAATGAACAGACTTCCCTCTCTGGCACATGGGCATTTCCGGCTATGAGGCCTTGGTCATGTGCACTGTTACACCCTTCTTCCTCGGCATCAAGCCCATCCGCTACCTTGTCACGCGTTACGTGTGGTTCTTCCACCTGCTTTCGCTTTCCGGGCTCCTCGCCTTCCTGACCACGACGCCTGTGAACCGACTTTTCGCCGTTGGCTTTGGCCTGTCCATGTCATGTCTGGCATGGTCGGCCACCTTCTTTGCAGAAAGGTCACAACCGCACCGTCTCGAAGGGCGTATCACTGCGTTCTCCATTGGCCTTATAGCCTCGAGCGTTGCCAAGTTTGCTTTCTGGACAAACAACCCCATCTGGCCAATCATGCATGAGGAAAACGGGGGCTGGAACAAGACTGGTCTTGTAGTCGCCTTTATCGCTATTCTTATATCAACACGATCGACCGCAAGCGCTGGCGCTGATATACCAGCTCAGGGTCCCACCAAAGGATCCTCGGTCTTTGCCAGTTTCGGTCTTGGTGGAGTACTCTTCGCCATGCACTCTTTACTGTCCGATTCAAGTACCATGATCTCCTGGGTATGGGAAGGATACCCTGTTCGCGGACCCCTGGCCGTCCCTCACGGTACACTGACCCTGTTTGCTATGGGTGTTGGACTTATGATTGGATTGTTCGCGCCAAACCTTTCGCGGTCATGGGCCTTTTATGGTGTCGGCTCGATTGGTGCTGCCTTCTTGACCACTACTAGCCACTGGACGGGATTCTATGGTGCTCTTGTCCTGGCTACATACACCATGGCAGCAGCACCCATCCTCATTTCACACGCCGCTCGTCACGCACCAGGTCGCACCTTTGGCCTTGCCTTTTTGGTATACAACTTTATGGTACTTTTCCACGTCTGGGTCGTCGCATATGCCTTTGTTCCTGGCGGCCCTCTTGTCCGCGAACACACTGACTGGGTTATGACATGCATGATGCTTCAGATTGGCGCAGGTGTCTTCAGCGTCTCTGCGCAGCCACCAGTGCTCAAGAGCTACAAAGGCAAGGCTGTCATCACTGCAGCCGCCAGCCGACAGCGTTCATACTACATGTACATCCTCGGTGTTCTGGAGATTATCGCTGTTGCAGTTGCATACCTACGTTTCCCGTCTTACGACTACAAGCCGTACCACCCAGAGACTAAGTCCATCACAGCCGGTATCTGGACGATCCATTTCTCTCTAGACAACGACATGTGGTCATCCGAGCACCGCATGCGCGATCTAATTAAAGAGCTCGAGCTCGACGTCATCGGTCTACTCGAGAGCGACCTGCAGCGCATCATCATGGGCAACCGTGACTCGACGCAATTCCTCGCCGAGGACCTAGGCATGTACGTCGACTTTGGCCCCGGCCCCAACAAGCACACATGGGGCTCCGCTCTCCTCTCCAAGTTCCCCATTGTAAACAGCACACACCACCTCCTCCCCTCGCCCGTAGGCGAACTCGCGCCCGCCATTGAAGCCACAATCGACGCCTATGGCGAAATGATTGACATTTTCGTCTTCCACTCCGGCCAGGAAGAAGACCCAGAGGACCGCCGCTTGCAATCCGAGTACCTGGCCGAGCGCATGAAGGCCACGCCGCGCCCGGCCATCTTGCTTTCGTACCTCGTCATCAAGCCTGGAGAGGGTAACTACAATACCTACGTTGGCGAGAAGAGCGGCATGAAGGATATTGACCCGAGCGATTGGGATCGCTGGTGCGAGTACATTCTCTACAAGGGGCTCAAGAGGACGGGGTATGCCCGTGTCTCTAGACATACGATTACGGATACCGAGTTGCAGGTATGTTTTTTTTCTTTTTCCCTCTTTCCCTTTCTCTCTCTCTCTCTCTTTGAAAATTAGTTGCTAATACATGGTGTGTTCACACAGGTTGGTAAATTCGTAGTTGGTGAACCCGAGAATCCCAGCAATGAGCTTGTGCATGAGTCGCAGGTCCCGGCTGGATTGAGGTTCCCGGATTTGTTCAAGGGAGAGGGTGTTAGGGGCCATAGGTATCATGTTTTCAATGAGCCGAGGTACTTTGCTTGATGAGTCGGACGAAGAAAGGAAAGGGAAAAGAGGTTGATGAGGGGAAAAAAAGTGCGTCGGTTAAGAAGAGTGTAAGCCGGGGGTGTGGTAGTGGGGGTTGTTGGAGGTCAAGTCTGGTACTGTATAGACTTGTGTATAAGTAGTAAAGTTTTTCTTATGTATTGGGGAATCGGATGTGAAGAAGAAGAAGAAGAAGACAAAAAAAATCATCAGTCACAGCATCAAATTCTCTCGTTTCTCCTCATCGTCCACTTTTCAATCTTACTCTTTTGAAAAAAGTTGTATATCCAACTGTACTCGCCCTTGTCTGTATTTCATACTATACAGCGCTCTAAGTGCCTCCTCCATTGTGTCCCACCACCACAGCCACAAGAAAAACGAGAAAAAAGATACAAGTGAAAAGAAAGAAAGGGAGGGGGGGGAGCCATCGAAAAAAATACCCTTTCTTTTTTTGAGGGGGGGGGGGGAAACAATAAGACGCCAGTTCCCTGATGCAATCAAGTACGTGAGTCACATACATAAAAACGTTGCCCCTCCCCTCCCCTTCTCACGCGCTCCCTGTTCGCAAAAAGCCTTAAATAAACCGGGATCCCATGATTTTCTTCTTTCCTTTCCTTTCCTTTCCTTCCTTTCCGCCCAAAACACAATCATAGAATCATGGGCAATTCATCCTCGTGCTTGTTCATCGTCGTCAATCTCCCCGTCCCCCCACCTCACCTCACCTCACCGTGTCATCTGCCTCCCCACAAGCTGTTCATATACACAAACACACACACACACTCCTCCATTTAACTTGCCATGAACAAGAGAATCCACAAGGATTTTTTTTTCTTTTGCAAAGGAAGATTGGAGCTCATTTGGCAACGGCAGCGCTGAGGACCTGGGTCCTGAAGAAACCGCCCTTTGTTCGCTCGATGACTTGTTGGTAGACTGATTGTGGGGGGTGGTTCATAACGACTGTGCCGGCCTGGTAGTCGATCTTTGCATCTACGCGCGTATCGCGGATGAGGTTGACGATCCACTTCTCACCCTCGTCCTGGGAGAGGCCGAGACGTGTTGAGAGGTCCCTGCAAAAGAAAAAAAACAAACTATTAGCAAAAGTTCTAGCGTCCAAAGGAACTTCCATAAACTTACTTGATATCAATTCTCTGATGAATCTTGCAATAGCTCTCAGAAATCAAATGCCTGGCCGCATCTACAAATTGGTCTGCCGCACCCAATAGGAAAAAGTCGTTCTTGAGAATCTCCTCGGTCTCACTGAGTTTCTTTTGGGCCTCCTCAAAGTCAAAGTCAATGTACAAGGCCTTGATGAAGTCCGTGACAGGGTCGCTGTACTCGTAGCCTTCTTGACGTACGATCCTAATCAGATCCTTGAGCTGCTTCTGGTACTGGTTCGAGTTCCTGCCGCGGTTGCGGCCGGTGATGACGGCAGCAGCGAGGTAGCGCAGGATCCAGGGGCAGTTTGTCTGAATGGTGTTGATGTATGCGGGAGAGAAGAACATGTCGGTGAGGGTTTCGCGCGAGGTTTCGTGGTTGAAGAGGGGGAAGAGCGACCAGTGGATCAACCAGGTGCGGTGCTGCAATTGTGCGAGGGGGTTGTTGAAGAGGCGTGTGTCGATAATCTCCTTGAGCTTGTTGATCTCCTCCATGGCCGAGTCCCAGTTGACGGACAGAATCTCACAGGCGAGCTTACCCCACGTGGCTTCACGCTCCTTGTCACCGTCGGTGGTCTGGAAGAGGCATGTTAGCAAGGCGTGATACAGAGCGAGTACGTTTGTAGGCGGAGATATACCAGAACTCTGAATCGGTAGAGCAGCTCTGCGGCATGTGGGTAGACACCGCACGAGTACTGGAACTGACCAAACTCGAGCAGCTGATTGACCATTTCCATGTCGACGCCGTGGCTTTCCTTGAGGTAGGCCAAGTTTTGCTGCTTGTCACTCCTCAGGTTGGTAACGACGTTCTCGTCATCCAAAAGACCGCTGATCTTGCTGGTGGCCTCCTCGAGCTGGTCGCGCTTCTGCAGAACCTCCTCGCGCTTTTTCTTGTACTCGTCAGACATGTCGGAGAGGCCGTGGACGTCCTGGTGCAGTTGGCCGACGAAATCGGTCATGTTTGTGGGCTTGAGAAGTTCGAGGAGCAGCTTCTTCTGCTCGACTGTCTGTTCGGCCTCTTCATCGCTCGAGAAGTTGAGGAGCGGGTAGATGAGGTGGCGGTCGAGGTTGGGCATAAGCTTGGGGAGGAGCGAGTATTGTTCGGCGATGCTGGCGCCGGCTGCCGCTGAGTCCGCCATGGTGGGCGATTGTTGTCGTCGTGGTCGGCGGCGGGGGAGTGGGAGAGGGTGAAGGGAGGGGCGGTGGTGGGCGCGAAATTCGTCTTGTCGGCGGGTGGCGGTGGTGGGGGTTGGGATAATGAAAAACGACTGTGCGCAAGCGAGGACCCCTGTACGCTAAACTTGTGGTGTTGAGCCGCAATTCACGCCTCAAGCCCGCATCGTCATTCTCCCCGCCGCATATTCCCATGCCTGGCTGTTCTTTTCCTTACAGGAGACTGTTCGATTATATTATATCACAATGCCTCGTATACAGTATCTTGTTCCTCTGCTGAGGCCATTGGCTGTTCCACGAGTAATCGCATCCCGACAATGCCTGCGCTTCTCCACTGCAAGTTCATGGCAAGCTGAGCGTCAGTTGTTCACTTTCACGCTAGACTATGCGCATATCCACTGACCATTAGCAGAGCCTCCGCCAAATGCTAAGCCAATAACCAATCCCTCCCTCCCGCCAAACGCCTCATCTCAACACCCATCAACACCCCAACAAGCCCAGCGCGCCGCCGACCTCGCAGCAGCAGAATCCCTTACAGAAGGTGACAGTGCGCAACCACCAGAGCCCAAGCCTGTCCTACCCTCCAAACATCCCCGCGCCGACATCAAGCCCAAAGACGCCGCCACCGCGCCCTCACTACAACAGCCCAAGTCCCCCAAGAAACAAAAGACATCGCCCACCCAAAAGATCTCTCTGCCATCCCCCAAGTACCACGTTTCTCGATCAATAAACAAGAATCTGCCCATATACACCGACTACAAGCGCGGCGGCAATCTGCATCTGACTACCATACGCAAGATCACGGGCGATTTGTCCGCTCTGAGAGACGAACTGAGGGTCTTCCTCAACAAGAAGAATGAGGATGTCAAGATTAACAGTCTGACGAGCCACGTTATTGTCAAGGGTCATCATACTAGTCAGATTGCTGAGTTCCTAAAGGCTAGGGGGTTCTAGACTGGACGGCTGAACCAAGTATAAAGGGCCCATGTGTTGGATGCGGAGAGGGACGATTGGAAAAAAATGAATAGGAAACAATGTCAGGGTTTTCTTATGTATTTACTTTGTATCATGTGTATAAAACTACTACGACCACTGGGAACTGGCATCACGCATTTCTATGTATTCGGTGGACTATGAGTGGTGAAGAATATGTTTTGTCAGCAAACTGACCTTGTTTGACAAACGTCTATTTTTTTTTTTCAAATTTCACGGAGACATGGAGATTTGGACGCTAGGACGTTTACAAGGTATACACCAAATCATCTTCATCTGGTAAATTAAGCACATGCATTTGCAACTACGCTTTCCCCAAACCATTCAAACTTTGTATAGTACTTCTACCACAGTGCTTACATCATGATGGCCTGTGTTTGGCTTGCATGCCAACTCTACATTTAAGATCTGCCATCGTCCATGCCCACTGGAGCAATGCCGAAGCCACCAGAGTCGGTAGCAAACGCGTGACTACTATCCCCCGCCCATGAGCCACTTTGTATCCAATCTGCTTTACACTTTGCGTACATGCTTTACGTACTCTTGCATCATGAGTCATTGGCTTATCATGTCCCAGATACGCGTAGCGCAATAATTTCTCTGATATCCACTCTTGTATCGTCGTCCTTGGATATCTCCACCATGCCGCTTTAGTCTTTCTTTACCGTCGGAAAAAAGTTTAGCACGTCGAGGCCCTGGCGGCATCGGGGTGCAGCGCTCGTATCCATGCCGGATACGGTAAGATGTGTTTGTAAGTAGAATCCTTGTAGCATTCGACGTCAGTTGTAGTCGAGTCTCAACAATGTGCTGCTTATTCGCCGGCTTTTGCGGGACAAAACAAGCCAGTCTTTGACAACACATACGTACCCATATATAGCAGCAATATCGAGGACGCGTCCCTGCTCGGCTATTGGTTTTCAACGGCGCTTCGCGGACATGGCCTGCTTTGCTCCCACAGGATAGAGAGACCTTGAAACTTTTAACTAACAAAAGTTTTCAAGACCTTTCAGACGTTCGACATCTTTAGGTGAGGACAAACATCACCCTGCCTTCATATCATTCTGGTCGAGGTCGTACATACACTGCTGAGGGAGAGCTCAATACGAAGCGCATACAAGGGCGGATTGAGATGAGGACATGATGGGAGGATTCCCCAGCGACCGAGGGTATGTGAGTCGACAATGAGTACGGTGATACCAAAGAGCTCTCGTCCACTCAGAATAGACCGGTGTCCTTGCCGATAGGTGCGTATGTGGCGCTAGTAACATCAAAATCTCCCAAAGAAGACATTTCGAATCTTTTCATCCTTTGATATCCCAGAGACGAAATTTCGGTTTTTTTCTTAAACAAACATTGCCGCGTCGAGAGAACGTATCTTTCCAACAAGGGCTTCACCGGAATTGGACGCTTTACCGTCACCTAGCATGCCACTGATTGCTGACCTGAACCAGAATATGTCAGCTGGAACAGCCAACCATCCAGAATAATTCCACCATGGGGTTGTTTTCGTTGTAGACGGAACGCTGCTTCTGAATGCGCTTGTTGTGGCTTGAAGTAGCAGAATAAACATAGGTGCTCTCACAGCGGGCTCAACGAACTTCTCTGGCCTCAGGAGCATGGCCCTTTTGTCTCGGTCTCTAGCCAGTCTCGCATCTTGTCAGGTTGAGGTGTGGGGTTTACGGCTCTAGGCGATTTCATATAGAAAGACTGAAGTTCTAGAGGCTCAAACAAAGTTGAATACACGAGGGCATGAAGGACTGCATGGATGAGCGCAGTGAATTGATTAGTAGGTATAAGATGCGACACAACAGCAATTCGGTGGCCAAGGCGCCGAGTTACTGGCTCCTGCACTGGTCACGAAGTTTGGCACTATCTGAGCCACGTTTAGCGAAACCACAAAGACACGAGAGACCGATATCACCCTCACAAAAGCCATGCTATTATGCTCCACATTTTGCCGATTTGCCCAGTATAGCTGCTGAAAAAGCATGGTGAATGATATTAAAGACTCTTCGTATGATTAGATCATCCGCGCGTCCAAATTCTATAAAAAATATTTCTCGATACGAATCAGTCTATTGGGACTAGGAGCATTCTGGCTACGTCAGCGATTTCGGCCCACAGGGTGCCAACACTGGGACCCTGGAACATCGAGTGCGGGCTCTTCCTTTAAAGTACGGAGTTGGGTTGCTACACGTAATGATGAAGCTTGAGGATTATATAGGCTGGCAGTGGGAGTGAGTGGCGGCCGAGCTTGTAGAGCTCTGGCAGCTGTGACTGGCTTCGGGAATTTGGCCCGTAGCAAGCTTCATCCAGCAAGGATTAACAGCACAAGCGCGTGAATATCGGATGTGCCGCAACTTCCAGTAAATCTGAAGTTATAAACAATCATTGCGTGAGCGCGGCTCGATGACTACACACTCTCGAGGCCCCGACGCGAATAAAGGACGTTGCGACTTGAGCGTAATCTGCAGGATTAATGTGCCGTGTATCAAACGAGTGCCTCCGCGGCTTCCTTTGCAACACGTCAGTGGGTAAGGAATCTTATTCGACAAATGACTAATATAATCGAAGCCACACTCGATAGGTAACGATCTCGTCTCGATACTGCTATTGGGCTCTAGGATATACCTTTTTGGAACTGACAAGCCACATCTAAGCGCCCTTTTTCGTCGCTCCCATTTGCCCCCCCAGGCGGCTTCCAATGTCAGTCCCTTGGTGATCTTTCGAGCAAAGTCGGTGAAGTACATAGGCAACCCCAATACACACATATCACACAACCACGGTACGGATCCCCGCAATCAGCCACCATCTGGAATTTTGGAGATTGTTATTTTGGAACTGCAATTTGATTTGAGTGGCACCATGGACCCCGCTGACACTGCGACAGGTACACCAAGATTCGATTAGTAGCTCCCAGTATCCACGTATGGGGTAAAGTCTTGTTGGAGCTTTTACATTCGATGCATGCTGACTTGGTGCAGTAAATACCGCTCTAGGAGTGGCTGGTTAGTAATAATCCCAATCTGGTGGTCACAAAGAATGCTGACCGGGACAAAGTCTTACATGTCGAGCACGCCGTGTCAAGTGTAAGTACACGACACAAACTGTTCATCTGCGCTTACACGAACCTCAGGCGACGAAACTCATCCAACATGCAAGGCCTGTAGCAAGAAAAACCGGCCCTGTCAATGGGAGGAACCGCACACCAAGTTCAAGGACTATCGGCCTGGTGGAGCTTCATCAAGCAAGTTTGCTACGGGCGGCACGGACGATGAAAATGAGGTCAGAGACAATATGGACGGGGGGGACGGCGAGGATGGAGAAGACGAAGATGAAGAGATGGATGGTGCCCACAGTATTGGTGAAAGAAGTCGCAGCCAGTCCATCTCGCAGAGAAACATCCGGAAAAACAGTCAGACCGACGGGGTACTAGACAGCCCATACTCCAGCGCGCCTTCCACATCAGCCCAGGGATTTCCAGTTCCGCCATACTATGTCAACAAGGCGGAGAATACGAGGGGCCATGTGTCGATGGAGACCTTCCTGGGGCAGGAGAGCCAAATGGACCAACACCCCGTAGGCACCGCAGGCCATGCAGCAGAACACATTCCTCTGACCCACGAAGAGGCTCTCTTGGTCCATCATTATACCGAACACATTGGCCGCTGGCTCGATTGTACAGACGCAACCAACCAATTCACTCTTGGAGTGCCCGGAAAAATCACTCTTTGTTCCGTCCTTCGTCATGCCGTCATTGCACTCGCTGCTCGTCACTCTCGAAACGACTCTATTGCAGACGCGGCCTATCAGCGCTGCATCTCGCTATTGATCTTGCGGCTGAACGAGGAGGCTGCAAGCCATGATGAGACCCTTCTATGTGCCATTGTCATACTGCACTTCTATGAGCAGCTCAGCGGTAAGCTTGCACGATGCTCTTTACGTATGCCGTCTATCTTCTAACTTTTTTACTTAGTTCCCTCGAGTATAGGGTTAGAAGACGAACAACATCTGGCCGGTTGTTCGGCCATCATCCGCTCCTCACAAGGACACCATTTCGTAGACCCTTCAGCACCCACTCTGCGCGAAGCTGCCTTCTGGGTGTACGTAAGACAGTGCATACATAAAGCCACTATCAATCAACAACCGCTCGATATCGATTTCTCATTGCAGTTACATCCAACACCCAGCTCAATGCGAGATGCACATCCACTGGCACGGCTAAGGTTGGAAACGGCTTGGTCCAACCAAATGGCATGGAACCTTGCGCGTGTCGTCAACTTCTGCTTTGATGGAAACGAGGTATATGGCGATATGCGTTCTAGGATACAATACTGGGGAGAGCTGTGGGAGCTTGTTCACACATGGATGCGGGACAGGCCAGCCGGCTTCAATCCCATCTATCAAGGCCCTACTGATGACAGCGGCTCGTTCCCCAACACCTGGTTTACAGCGGATTGGCATGGTAAGATTATTCAAACTCCCTCTCTTATCGTTTCGCGTACTAATCCATCAGCGGTTTCATTCTGTTACTACCATTTTGCTTGCATCATGTTACTCCGGTTCAGGCCACACTCAGATTCGGTAGCTCATGATGGCCATCAACTATCTGAAACAGACGTAAATCTTTCCGTCTTTCATGTACAAGACTGACTGCTGACTTCTATAGCACCAAATCCTGTCGCATGCTCAAGCCATCTGCGGAGCGACTAAAAGCTCAAAAGAAGCAGTGCCACTGGCAATTGCAGTTCGCCACACTGTTTTTATTTGGGGCCCGCTTGTGTCAAGCGAGAAACAGAGGGAGGAAATAATTGAGATTTTGGCCGACTTTGAAAGAGACCACGTCTGGCCAACGACCTGGTTGATCAATGCACTGAAAAGCCAGTGGGACATGTCCGGTGCTTCGACTGCCATTTCTCCAATGGAACAATAGAAAAAATACTTTTTATCAAAGGCCTCACTCCGTCGTTTCCGATATATGCTGGACGGTTTCTTGTGATAGGTGTGGCCGCGCTTAGCTCATGCCTTGCCATTGACCACTAAACAATAGCTGCTCCTACTAATCTTTGAGAAAAATAACTTGACGTACCAAGTGCAGACACTCGTTGATGTAAAAGGCAAATACTCAGGTGATGCAGTACAATACCTCAAACCCGATGTCCATGATCTTACCGTATGACTGGTATAGCATGTCTGTCCCCAACAATTCCGATGGCTAGCGCTACCCCCCACTCACCCTTGCTACACCCAAGGCAGAACATACCACCGCTGACCTCTGATGTCATTAGCCGTAACCGATGAGCATGTTTTCCAAAAGTCCCTCGCAATGCGCCACGTATCGCCGGGCATTCATCCCCGCAAACACCCACCAATCAGATAGTAGATGACCCTCTCTCACAAGAGAATCACGTGCAAACATAGCTAGTGAAGTAACCTTTTGTATGCCACTTGTCAGGTCCCACACAGACCTTCCGTCTTGATGTGACCCAAGCATCGGAATCGTATGATTATTGGTTCTTTATAGACGTGCGGGATCTCTTGGGCATGGAAAAGCGGCACAAGACTTTCGGTGAAATGGGCCGAGTGCTATCCCGACTGACGGGAACTTTGATATGAGATCGCGGCGACAGGCATCAGCATCATATGTGGATGAAACATACGTCATGTGTCTTAAAAATCCACAAAAATCATTAACATTATCTTCGTAATAGCTGACTGTATCTAGAAAATGGTCATCTGCTGCCTAGGGATTTGCAGCAGGTGTATGCCGATTCTTGCCTTCGACTATCTCACGCATGATACGTGCTTTTCGCTGCTCCTCCGCCTCACTGCTGACATCGTGGAACACTTGGTCCATCTCCTCTAGCGTCTTACCAGACGTCTCCGGGATAACAAAGAATGTGAATAGGAATGCGAGGAGACAGAAGACAGCGAAGAAAGTGTAGGCGCCGTAACCGGTGTTCTGGACGAGAGGCGGAGTAATGAGACCCTGAATCGCGCGTTAGTGGCTTATCCTTGTATCGCTGAGCAAGTTGCTACTTACAATGACAAAGTTGTTGAACCAGTTGGAGCATGTCGACAAGGCGACGCCCTTTGCGCGAAGTGAAGAAGGGAAGATTTCAGACGGCATAGCCCATGGTACGGGACCCCAGGTGGCACCAAAGCTGAACATGTAGAAAAAGAGGAAGGCGACGGCGACCCAGCCTTCGGTCGAGTAATCAGCCCATCGGCCACCAAACTTTCCTACCATGACCGCTATTATGAGATGACAGATGAACATGAGCGCGGCACCACTTAGGAGCAGAGGTCGGCGTCCAAAGCGATCCATGGTCCATAGACTTGTCGCAACACCCACGAGCTGTGTGCAGTTGATGATGCCGGAGAGAAGGAGCTGCATTTCGTAGTCTTGGCCAAGAGTCTTGAAAAGAGAGGGCGAGTAGTAGATGAGTGCGTTGATACCTGATATTCCGTCAGTGACGTTCTTTGTGTAATGTGGGGCTATACATACCGACGAACTGTTGGAAAAACATGATGCCAACACCAACAACAGTTCGCCTCCAGCACCCGTGCCTGAAGCAGTCGAGCCACGATTGAATCTCAAGTTTGAATTCGTCCATGCGTGTATTTCCTTGTAAGTCGGGATGTCTTTCCACATTCACCTCGCGGTTGAAAGCAACTTCGGCACGGATCTCGCACCATTCTTGGAATACACGGGTGTCGTTGGTAGGGAGTTTGCGGAGTTTCCCAAGGACTTGAAGGGCTTCATCATCGCGGCCTTTGCTGGCTAACCAACGAGGTGAAAAGGGAAGGAAAACGATGCCAGCGCCTAGGATCAGACCTGGAATCATTTGAATGAGGAAAGGAAGGCGCCATGCCCATTCTCCGGCCATGTAACGGGTACCATATGTTGTCCAGAAGGCGACTACGATACCGAGAACGATGCTGAACTCCTGCAAAACGAGAAGGGCGCCTCGGATCTCTGGAGGAGCGATTTCTGAGATGTAGAGTGGAGCGATGGTCGCAAGTCTGTACCCAGTTAGATTTCGCCCTAGAGATAACAGCATATTAACGTGGTTTCAACTTACGCTCCAATACCCATTCCTCCAACCAATCGTCCCACCGTCAACATAGCATAACCCATAGCTGCAGTCTGCAAAATACTTCCAATCGTAAAAACAATGACCGCGACGACAATGGAGTATTTCCTGGATAGCTTGTCGGCAATCCATCCGGCAAACAGCGCACCGATAAGAGCACCAAGTTCCAGCATAGCAGTCATCAATCCCTTCCAGAATCCCGCGCCTGAAGCATCGTCCGAAACGCGAGGGAAACGACCGAGAAATTGGTCCATGACAAGCGTTACGGAGATGACACCCTGGTCGTATCCGAAGAGAAGGCCTCCAATGGTGGCGAATGCTGCGCACATGGCGACATATGGATTGGTAAAGAGACCACTGAATCCTGAATGGGATCAGATACCATCACGGGAATTTGCTGTGAGTGGTTTGGTGGAGATGCATACCTGCCGGTCCATACGGTTCTCTAGCTATCGGTCCATCTCTACTGGCACAAGAGACCATGGTCTCTTGTTGCTCTTGTGGGACGCTTTTGACCGAGTCCTCTCTACCCATGTTGGTTTCGATGGAGTTCCTGCTACTTGTGTGGATCTCGTCAGATAGAATTGAACAAAATCTCGAGTGAGGAGAGTAGAAGGAGAGAATGTCGGTCAGCCTTTATGTACACACTGAGTAATTCGCTAGATCTCGCGTTAGATCTTTCAAGGTGGATCCACAACACCTGTCTGCCAACGCTAGTGGCAGGCCTATTATCGCTTTTGTTGCAACAGGCATCCGATAACGTTCTGATTGCAGCGGTGTCGAGGTCAAGACGGCCACTAGAAAGTTCGGTGTTCACGTGCGGTTTAGGTGGTTGGGAGCCACATTCTTTGGTCCTATTACCTGCTCTGATCGTCGGTTTCCAGGTGTGCGTACGCAGGGGTCACTTTTGTTGACGCAAACATCGGGCGTGCGTTCAGAGGCTTGCTCGAAGTTTCTGTGGACCCCCAGTCCGAGACTGGCCGATCTACTTTGCTATGGATCGTGAGAATCGATAGCAAAGACACAACGAATGCCCTGATGTTCTTGACTCGCTTGGAACTCGCGTGATATTTACCGCTAAATTCTGCTATTGGTAGATTTCGCTCGTGTCTGTAGCGCCTCATTGGTGCTTCTGTCACCTTGGTGTGCTTGTTTCCACGTCTACAGATACCCCTGAGACCAGTAGAAGTACCCAGAAACCCCAGATGACGAACATGACGCCTCAGCCGTTACCCCACAACCCCAGAATAAGGTTCGCCTCGTGCCGCGCTGTGCGTGTGTCCAGTAGGACAGGATTCTTTTCTAATTTATTCATCTTGGGGGAAATATTGCCGGCTGGAGTGGAGGTTACGGCGAAAATTGCTCGCTGGGGTCTGGATGGGTGCACATCGAGCGCTGCGCTAAGCCATATACAGTGGAGATGGCAAGTCCCCCCGATCAGTGGGCCGCGAAGTGGGACACTATCGTCGCGAAATAGTAACTTGAACCGCTGTCGTGTACCGAGTGAGTAAAGCTGATTAAAGCATGTGCAAGTCAACTGTAATAGAATATCACCAAAAGAATCACCCAGTGCATTCAAAAACAAGACCTATTTCTAAGTCTAGGTTGTAATTTACAAAGTGCGTTCTAGTCTGAATAGTCCATAACCTAAGTAGGCGTCTCATTATACATCACACCACTCCATTCAAAGTAAACCGCCTATTGCCAAGGAAGTCACAAAGTGGAACCATCATGGGTTTTCTCCACATCTATGGGATTCTGCAAAGCCATGTGACTCCAGGTTTGATCTCATAGCGGTCTGTCCGTGACTTTTGCTATGCTAGGCTACGTGGCCTCCAAGGAGATCGCGATCCAGGAACACTTGGCTTCGCAATGTAGAGAAGATATTGGGAAAACGTGCAACTACGTCGGATCAATTACTATAGTCTCAATGCGATTAGCCGATAAAAGCGGAGTCGTAGTGTGAAGAGGGCTTATCTATGGAAGAAATAGTGTAACAGTCAAATGCACACTTGTAACTACAGTTTTTGGGTCTGCTTTCCAAGGTAGTATGTCTCAGAAAGCTCAAGGCACTTTGACTCGTAACTCAATCACGCAGCTTTGGATGTGCCAGTCCACTGATAATATCCACTCAAGTTGTGATAGACAATTGCCAACTGTGGTTGTACATTATTTGATGCCGTTGAGTCGTATTCTGTCTAATAATACCAACGCTCAGACGACTAAAATAGCTTCCCATGGAGAAATTTGGAGAACCAGTTTCTTAGGGTACAGAATTGACCACCTTCGCCTAGCTCTACAACGATTATATGCCAGTCTTCTTATGGACATGGTCGGCGTCGATACGATATCTAAAACCCGCGGATATAGCTTTTGCAATTTTTTAAAAGAGCTCAAGTAAAAGCTATTTTGGGAGAGGTCACTGCTTTGTTGAATTTATTGGCACAAAGCCGTTCGCTATACAACTTATGATTATTTCTCGTTAGTCAGGAGGCAAAAAATAACCCAAGTACCATCTACTCGCTGCCCGTCAGTACAACCAAGAAAGCATCACAGGAGCAAAAAAAGGCAAAAAGAAAGACGCCCCCATTGGGGGCATTGTACGATGTGGTTATGCGACATTGACAAGATTCGAACTTGCGAGGCCGAAGCCATTAGATGACATGAATGAGTAATTCAAGTCTAACCCATTAACCACTCTGGCACAATGTCAGATGATTCGATGGAAGTTTGAGAAATCCAATCAAATATAATTGCGTTCAAAGTCCAGGGGTAGCTGTACAAGCGTGGCACTTTTGGCGGGGCACACTCAACCCCACTTCGCAGGGCGCCTAACATAAGCTTTCAATCCACAAACATTGTATTGATTGCTTAGAGGCTAGACTTTCCATTCAACGACCAGGTCTTGTCGCCAGTAACCTTCCCTTCCTGCTTCAACTTGTTCAAGATCTGCAATATGCCCCTCTCTGCCGGTTCCCAGAGACTTTTAGGATAATCCTTGTATATCACCTTGACAATGTCCATCGACGATAACCCCAACCCACTCTCATCTGCTGCCAACACATCCAGGACCTGCTGCTCACGCTGCTTGCGATGGCCAATGTACTCTTTGATTTTTGCTGGACCATCATCGATAACAGGGCCGTGACCTGGGTATGCGCGACCGCCAAACTGCTTTGACATTCCGTCGAGACTGTTTATGTATGTCGCTAGATCCTCGAATACTGCTGTGCCCTGTCCCAACACATTGTCGGCTGTGAACATGGCATCTTCTTCCTCCAGCACAAAAGCCATGTGGTCGATGGTGTGTCCAGGACAGAAGAATGCACGCAACGTCGCGCCCTCGGTCTCAAACTTTTGTCCATCGGTTATGGGGAGCCAGTCGTTGTGCGGATCTTTTTTGAAAACCTTGGTGTTAGGAGCGTGCTCGAGGAGATCAGGGACTCCTTGGATATGATCAGGATGCCAATGTGTCAAGAGTACCTTTTCGATTGCAATGTTCTCCTTTGAGAGCAGCGACTTGATGGACGCGATCCACTCGGGTTTGCCTTCGCCCGTGTCGATGAGGAATCGTGATGCACCTCGACCGACGACATAAGTATTCGTACCTATACTAATCAACATGAATCTCGCAATGAAACTTGATGCGCAAACCTTGTAAAGTGAACTTGGAGTCTGTCAGTGTATGTTGTTGCCTTGCGATGCGACACTGCTTACCTTGCCCGGGTTACCACCAAGCACTCTAATCACCCGATCACTCAACTTCTCGATCTCAGGCAGAGGTACTAGTGCATCAACCATCTTTGAATATAGTCTAAGTGAACTGAAATGTGTAAGTCGCTGGCGTAACATGGTCACTCCATACCTCAGGTGTCGGGTCAAGCACACTTACCGAGGCTCGCTTATCGGGGGTGGGGGTGGGTTCAGGTGTTTGCGACTAAGTATCCAGATCCACATGCAATTATTTGCCGCTGCAGTTTTGACCACAAGGGATTAGTATGGTACCGATGATTGAAGACGACGACGATATTCCGTGAGTATTCTTGTCGCAGATGATGACGTACATACTAATCAAACAAGACAGCTTTCGGGCGACGCCCTAGCAGCGCTTCAACAATTTTACGGCGAGCGGGATGAACGCGCAAAGCAGTTTGAAGATCTGAAAGCCAAGGCTGAAGATGACTTTGATGGAAAGCTGTCAATGGACGTATTCACAGAAGATTGGAACGCAAGTCAGTTCTGGTACAGTGACGGGACTGCCACAATTCTTGCGAAGCAACTTCTCGATGGCGCTACCGATGAGACGAGAATCGCAGTTGTATCAGCACCCAGCGCTTTCATACAGCTGAAGAACCTGATAGTAAGTTTTTTAACGAACAAACTAAAAAAAACCCACGAGCTGTGTTGACGATCGCACAGAACTCAGGCGAAGTCCAATGTCGGCCGCAGATCAAACTCCTCGAATTTGATGAACGCTTCGCGGTCTTCAAAGAGTTTATCCGATACGACTTTGAGAAAGCGATCCAGCTACCGCCTGAACTCAAAGGCTCGTTCGATGCAATCATTTGCGACCCGCCATTTCTGAGTCAAGACTGCCAGACTAAAGGTAAATCCTCACATTTCCCAAAAATTCAGCACACAACCCAGTTAACAGGACATAGCTGCTCTCACTGTACGATGGCTGGCCAAGTCATGGTCACAAGATTCGCTTCGTCTCATTGTCTGTACTGGAGAGCGCATGGAGAGTTTGGTCACCGAGAAACTCTATGGAAAAGTAGGATTGAAGACTACAGACTATGAGATTGTGCACGCAAAAGGTTTGAGCAACGAGTTCAGGTGCTATTCCAACTTTGAGTGCGAAACATGGAAATGGAAATCATCATGACATGCAGGGTTGCCGTAATTCCAAATCTTAGCTAGAATATCAGACGACTATACCAACACCCAATCTACTATTACCAAGTAAGCTTTCGTCAAAACCTGGCGATACATTGCACAAGCAAGGCGAAATTGGCAGGCCAAAGAGCTACCCCACCACGTACCCCTCGGTCAACCCCACTTCGCCCTGAAGCTCAGCCCTGCGCCGACATCCAGAACTCCCGAACCAACCCACGCACTAACCAACCAACATCGCAATTCACGAGTACCACAATGTCTTCTGCTGCATGCATATTTTGCAAGATCATCAAGGGTAGGTCTAACTTGTCACTAGTGCATTGTGACATACTAACAAGCTCCCATAGGCGAGATCCCTTCGATGAAGATCTTCGAGAGCGACAAGACACTTGCATTCCTCGACATTGGCCCATTGAGCAGGGGACACAGTGTACGTCTCTTTCTAAACTTGATCTCCCATGCTATTAAGAAGGAATAAACACAACTAACACACGGCTTCACCTTAGCTCATCATTCCCAAGCACCACGGCGCAAAGCTGCACGATATACCCGACGACCAGCTGTCTGAAGTCCTAGCCGTCACTAAGCGCATTGCTATTGCACAAGATCTCAAAGACTACAATATTCTACAAAACAATGGCCGCATTGCTCATCAGGAGGTAGATCACGTGCATTTCCATTTGATTCCCAAGCCGAATCAGGAGGAGGGATTGACAGTTGGATGGCCGACGAAGCCAGCGGACAAGACTGAATTGGCCAAGTTACTGGATGAGATCAAGAGCAAGATGTAGAGAGTATTCGATATAACGACGAGAACAATTCATTAGAAATGAAAAACATGGCCAATTTGAACAAGTGCATTTTGGAAACTTTGTAGAAGCTTTTTTACTCGCCCTTGAACACAGGTTTCCGCTTCTCTCTGAAAGCAAGAAGAGCTTCGTCGCGATCCTTAGTCCTGACCACACGGTCATACGCAGCATTCTCAGCCTTCTCGCCCAACGCACAGCCCTCGACCGCCGCCAGCGCAGCCCTGATGGCAATTGGCCCGCCCTCGCAAATGTTCATTGCCAAATTGATTGCCTCTTCCAAAACCTTCTTCCTTGCAGCTCCTTCCTCTTTCGCAACCTCTGGGGTAACTTCTACCAACCGGTCGCATAACCCCAGGAAGTAGGCTTCAGGTGCTGCGACTCGTCGCCCAGTCAATATCATGTCGCGGGCGCGCGAGAGGCCAATGACTGCAGGGAGACGATAAGTGCCTCCTGCGCCCGGTAGGATCGCAAGGCGGGTTTCAGGCAGGGCGACTGTAGTCGTCGAACCAAAGACGCGCATATGTGTCGTAAGTGCCAATTCGAGACCGCCGCCAAACGCCGGTGCTGCAAGAGCAGAGATGGTAGGAATAGGCAATTGCGAAATCGATGTGAATGTTCCTCGTAGCGATGCGAGGAAGTTTGCTGTCCTGCAGCTACTTGTTAGCAGCTATTCGCATACTTTTAGCTAAGATCTGACATACTCTTCCTGAGTAAATGTAGCTCGTTCTTTCAAATCTGCGCCTGCGCAGAAACTCGAGTCGACATCGCTGGCCAGGATCAATGCCCGCGTTGGCCCATTGTCTCCCTCGTCGTGGATGCTATTGACCTGATGGCTCAGTTCCGCGAGCAACTGCCTGGAAATTGCATTGCGCGCTGCGGGTCGATTCAAGGAGAGAATTCGTATGCTTCCGCAATGGGGCGCGGGGATGTTTTTGACATTGATGGCTGGGGTTTGTGCAGTTGCGAACGTGCGGGTTTGAATGGCGCGGTATAAGATGCGGGGCGCGGGGCGGAGGAATGACATTTTGAGCGGTAACAGGAAGGTTTGTGGGTTATCTTGGGTGTGGTAATGGGTTACATTAAAGCTATAGCGATCTAGTCCAAAGTTACGGCTACGGCATCAGCTGGGTTGCGGTTTGGTGACTTCATTGTCATGGACCGCGGTTAGCCGAGGCGGTTTCTTGCTGTGGATAACGACAGGGATGGTTGCTTCTTTACTATAGCAACACAATTTAGGCAACCAATTGGCAAATTCTCATAAAACGCTGTCTTCCAGTTGGCTGGGTTTTTCTTCTGTCAAATTATTTTGACTTCACTTGCAGGTTACGGGGAGTGTATAAAAAGGTCACATTTGCTACTACTGGAACTGTGGGATACCAGAAGCCACTGTAATGGGAATGATGCTGTTAAAAAGAGCTCAATCGAAACAATGGCGTACTATTGACTCGCTGCCTTCGGAGCTAATGAAACAAATAGTTTCGTATCTCGCTCCAACATGTGTTGAAGACATGAAGCCAGGATGTAAACTAGACCTCCAAAATGCCAACCTGGCGCATTCATGTCTGAGAGAATGGGCGACAGAACACCTATTCAGGGATATGACACTGACACATGTCTTGCCAGGAGCATCGTGCAGTCTAGAGATCTTTGCAATCACAAAGCAAAATGCCCACCTACTTGATTTTGTAACGCATATTGTTGTCCAGGTACAAGCAACCTGACCGGATCAGAAAAGAAGTCCACTGACTAACACAGGTTCCGCCAGCTATACGAAGGGATGATTTCAATATTCCAGAATTTTATGGTCCTGCAACGCCGACTATACAACGTCTATATCCAGAGTGTGTTAATTCACCTACTTTCGAGTTCACGGACGAGAAAAGAGAGTACTGCCTAAGATACCATGAAGCAATGGTAGAACCATTCATCCAAGGCTGGCGCTGGCCTGCGCTCGTAAACTGCGCTGAAAGCAGTTTCGCCCGAATATTCGGTTACTTCAAAAACCTCACATCTATCTCTGTCGCATGCTGCGAGCGAGTAGACCACCTTCAGCCAACCTGCACCGGCACCTTCATCCAGCAAACCGGCAAATCCGCCATCGAGCAAGAAAATCACCGCTTCGTAGAAGACCGAACAGTAAATCTCGCCTGGGCCAGTGCCATCATCGTTCGAAAAGCTCCACCACACGTCCACACCCTTCGACTCTCCCTAGCGAATATAGACAGCTACTACAAAACCAACACCGTCAATTCGACCCTCAGAAAAGGCTACGGCTACCCCGAGAGCAATTTTCCCAACCTAGCCAACCTCACACGCCTCACTCTCAGCGTCCGCGGCATACCCGGTACCCACGGCCACCCCTCACACGTGCGCATCGCCGCCAAATTCCACGCAGGCTGGTTCTGGAAGCTCATAATCAGCAAAATGTTGCAGCTCCAACACTTGGAGTTGGTCGACGACTATGACACATCACCTGACACGTGCTTCTCGGGTCTAGAATATACAAATCACACTGCGTCGATTCTGCCCTTGCTCCTCCCGTATCTCGAGCTCAACCAGCTCAAAGTGCTAGGGCTGCGTGGCTTTGCGCTGCAGAAACACGATTTGGCAAATTCACTTACGGGGCCGTGGCCGAGTCTGGAGCGAATAGTGCTGAGTGAGATTCGGCTTATGGATGGGTCAGACGAGGATTATGCGGATGCGGAGCATATGGAAGGGCTCACGTGGTTGGAGATTTGTCAGGAGTTTGTGGAGAAACGGCCTGGTGTGATACTGGAGCTTGAGAGGCCGTATTCCACGTGTTTTGCGCTTGATGCAGTGGTTGTGGAGGAGAGGTTTGTCGAGGAGTTGGGGGGTATAGATGGTGTGGTTGTAACTCTTTGACAATAGGAGTTTTTCGAACGCAGACTGATTGGGTGGTGTTACTAACAATAGTGGGTGATTCCACCCTCATTCTGTCGGTGGCACGATATTTCCATTTCTCTATCACTCATCTCACACTATACAAGTAAATAGACTAAAATCTCTCTGTACATTTATCAACATGTCAAATATTTCGCACCCTTTTCCTTTATTGATTCAAATCATACGTGAAATGCGAAGCTCGATATTCCGTATGTGCAATGGCGACAAATGTACTTGGAAGTATTGCTCATAGGGAGAAAAACATTTTAATAGACCAAGCACATTCCTAGTTGCAGAAGAGGAAGTCAAAACAGAGGCAGATACAGCAATTTGGCATAGCTGATATTACAAAAACATTTATTACCACACCGCGTCATTCCCTCATTCTTTGCATACACATACACACCACTGGGTATATCAGACAACTTATCCTAAACTCAGGTCCATAATCTGCATAAAACTACTACCTCGTATATACACCTACCTCTTCCTTCCCTTCTCCCATCCAACACATTTCACACTCTTATTACTCTGTACCCACAACCTCCCTTTCCCTGCAAACGACACACCCCCTACCCACCGCCTTCTTGATAACATGCGCATGTGCCACCTTTGCACCCACACTGCGTGTCCATCTACCGCCGCTCTCTTGGGCATCGTTTGCAAGCTGCTGCTGTAGTCCCGCCGCAACGCTTGCGCTTGCATTTGTCTTTGGCAGGAGACATGCGAGGTGGAAGACGTGACCGCATGCGAAGCCGACGAGTGTGTCGCGGGAGGGTGGTAATGGGGTGGTTCCGTCAGTGATGGCGGATTCTTCTTCAACTGTGGGGAGAGTAAATGGACAGTGGCAACCGACGCAGTGGCCTGGCGGAGCGTCGCCTTCTGGTGGGCCAGGTGGAGTAGGATCAATGGCTGGTGCATTGGCTGTGTTTACGGCTTTTGTTGATTTGTCTGCTTTGGCAGTGAGCTTGGCGGCAGTCGCGGGATCCATTCCTTTGGTTTCGATATCGATTTGCCCCTTGACGTGGTGATGCCTTGCCTGTTTTCCGGAGAATCCACCGTCACAGGGTATAACTTCAAATTTAACACCGCGTTTCTGGCCAGAGCGTAATGTATCCATACCGGCTGCTACTTCTCCACGTAACACTCTTGCAACGCCTTCGGAGATGGAATATTGAATCTCATACTCGCGAACCATACGGCCGATACCGTCTCGCAGGCCTTCTATCTCGAGACCTTCAGGAATGCGGCGTACGAGTTTGATTGGGTCAATTGCCGTGCCGACTTCTTCGAGAAGACCGCGGATAAAATGCGGCTTGTCCATGGAGTATTCCAGCAGATCGTTCCAGAGGTCGGGGTCGTCCTGTTCCTTGGCGAAAGAGATGGCAAAGCTAACATCGGAGAGCTTCTCAATGATGAGGTACAGAGCACGCTTCGTTTGACCCGTTTTGGAGAGGATATGTCTGGTTGGGGTTAGCAGCCGATCATGTCAGTGATAACCGCGAATACTTACACAAGTTCTGGAATATACTCTCTCCTCTCGCATTCTGCAGTAGCCTTGCTCAGATCGTAGCTCTGGGATTTGCGGAGGTACTCCATCAGCAGCGGTCGGTCATACTCTGCAAATAGCTCGACCATAAGGTCTGCAAACTCCTCAGCAACAAGCTTGCCATCGGCTACCAAACGATCTTCAGCTACTCGTTCTTTAGCTGTCTTAGCAGTGCGTTCATGCATCTCCGGCTTCCAAAGCTTCCGCAAATAGAAGTGTAAAAAGGGTCTGAACGACGGTCCCTTGGCCTGCAGTTGACTCTCGACATCACTTGCTGGAATGCTGCCTCGGCAACCCTCCTCGACAAGGACATTAATGGCTTCCGCCGATGCCTCTTCCAACTCCTCCAGCTTTGTTGACGCTGACTTCATCAACTCTTTGGAGACACCCATCATGATGAATCCAGGGATATCATCACGGACAGCTTCCACAAGATGGAAGTCGCGAATCAGAGTCATGGCCGCTTCTGAATTCTGCAGGCGGATATAGCAGCGCAGTGCCTCTCTCTGCCGACCACTTGCCAGGAACAACTTCGCCAAGCCATCTTGCAATATTCGCCAATCTCTTCCTTGCACATCTCCTTCGATAGACTCCTCAGTAACATCGCCAGCAGAGAGTTTGCTCTTGATAGCCTCGATGACACTATTAATGTCAAATAGATCAGGATCCCAATCTTCAAGCAGATGCTTGAAGCGTACGCGGTCATGAATGATGTAGTGCCCAAGAATTACTTCGTATACCATGGAAGGTAGTGGCGGTTGTATCGGTTTCTTAGGGACGTACGGCGAAATCTCGTTGAAATGGTTCGTTTGGGCAAATTTCCACACCCAGTGTTCCCATCGCGCGGAAGTCCCAAGTACACGTCCCGCCACCTTGCCTGCTTGTTTCCAGTCGCCCGCACTGACGAGTTGCTGTACCCATAAATCTCCAATTTTGCGCTTCTCTTTCTCTACCGCCGAGTTCTGATTGGCCCTGGTGGCAGATAATGTTGTTTGAGAATCGTCATCAGCGAAGAACTCGTGTAAGCTTCCTTGTTTGTTTACTGGTGTACCAGTATCAGAGGCGTCTGATGGGATCTGTACGATTGACGAGATAATCTCAGGGTGATCCTCTAGCAGCTCCCATGCATCTTTGTAGTTTTCATGTTCCAACTCCCATTGGAAATGATCCGAAAGCTCTCGCTTAACTGCCAATACACAGTCATATGGACTTTGTATGAAAACCTTTAGACCCGCGCTGGCAGCATTTGGATGTACCGGTTGCTGGCGCTTGGTAGGTGTTGAACCAGAAATATTCCCAACACTGGCCGAAGACATGGATGGCGCTCTCGATGGTGGTTTGTCGGAGCCGATTTGAAGATTCATGACACTGGCTCCAGAACTAAATATACGTGCTGCGCTCGCGCCAACATCCCATATCCCTCCGCCGATAGCCTCCAGTGCGCTTCTTTGCGCAGGAGTCATCGTCTTCGGATGTGGGACGTATAGAGTGCCCAAGTGGTAATCAGCCGCTGAAAGGCTTTCATATCTGCTGACGGTTAAAGAGTCGACTTCAACCTCATCAGAGGTCGCAGCATCTATGAGTTTGAGTTCTGGAGAGAGACCGTTTGTGCGACGCTGTCTTCCTCCACGGGGAGTGGTATCCGGGCCAGATACGGGGTTATCGTCGTCATCGCGCGTTCGGTATGCAAGAACAAGAAGTAAAGAAGGGGTATAAAGCGAAATGCCAGAAACAATACAGTCGTCGAAATGAATGCTAAAAGGGCGTTAGGAATGTATGGATGTCAATGTGTAAGGGCAGCATACCAGCGGATGACATCGGCGGTTCCAACCGATCTCTCACCCACATTGCGGCCAACACCAGCTCCTCCAGGGCGCACGTGAACGATCCAAGCGGTATCTCCCCATCCTATGATGAGTTTCTCCATGTTCTTCTTGTTCCCTTCCTTGGCAGGTTGGGAAGATCGGTTGTGCGGCAGTGTAGCATCGGCCTTATCTACAAGGTGGTGTCCATTCATACTCATGATAGCATCGTCATCGGACTCGAGCGACTGGTCGTCAATCCATTCGATTCGCGGTTTCCATACGCTGGCCATGTCTTGCCATACGCGGCGGTTTGGTTTTTCGATGATGCCGATTCTCTTCCAGGCATCGTCTGAATCTGCGCTGTCCAGGTGCAAGTCCGTTCGCATGAGGCGCACGCCATGTTCGTTTGCCCAGGCCAAAAACTTGCCGGACAGAGACCACTTAATGGCAGTGATGGTACCTTCACCCGAATGCAAAATGGTGTCCCTGCCTCCATGTCCACCGAGGCCTATTGCGCCGAGCCACCCATGTGCAGCCTGCGATGCCGCGCTGGTGTTGGCGTTGGATCGCACACCTATGGGTCCACCAACGGTGTGGATCAACTCACCAGCCAGTCCACCAGACAAATACGAGCGATCATTTTTGTAGTCGGGCGAGAGGGCTACGGCTTGCACTGGACGGCCGAAATTGCGCAACGTAACATCCTTTGGGTCAACGAGCGAAGACACACAGACATGTCCGTCTATGGACGAGGAAGCAATGTATATCTGGTTTGAGGGCGTGGGCGGGACTTGGGCTTGGCGGGGTGCGCGAGGAGACGACGTGTTACCGGCTGGTGAGTCGGTTCGTCGAGAGGAAGCATTTGCCTGGTCGGCAGACCTCAGGTCCGAGGCGGAGGGCACAAAGGGCTGGGAAGCAAGTAGCGGCGATACAGAGAGAGCGGTGACCGAGGCGGCAGGGTGGGCATTGTAGGTGCGCAGGATGTTGAAGGTAGGTAAGTTCAACGCGTGCTATTTGGGTCAGCATGACGGCGCAACAAGGGCCGGGCGAGGACAGAGACTTACAATGTTTCCATTGTGGGTGCCTATAATCTACGTAGACATACAGTGTTAGCACATGGCCCGCAAGATGCAATGCAATCCACACATGTTCGGTGCATGCACTGGGGAAAGCTGGAGCTATGACCGTACCATCTTGTCTCCAGCGACCATAAAGGTGGCTGTCGCGTCGCCATTGCGGTATATGGGGCCCAAGTCTCTGGTGAGGCGACTGTACTTGAGCTTGGGTTCCTCGTCAACATCGTCGTCGGCCGTGTCATCGTCGTCTTCATCGTCGTCCGAGTCCGGCTCGATGGTCTGCTGGGGCTTCTGCAGGCGAGAGTCGTCGCGCGCCTTGGGCAGCGGAGCGTCGTCGATGTTTTCCGCCGCCATGCTGGCGACATGAGCTGCGACAGGCGGACAAGAGGCGTAGAGGACGCTCCGGGCGCGCCGAGTGTGGAGAGATGCGAGGTTGACAATGGCCCTGTCGATCTGAGCCTATGATGCTGGCCAAGCCGATTCCCGCGGACTTGCAAGGGTCTATGCTTCTCCTCCGCACTGCTCCACCCACCTTTCTGCCGGGTACATTTATGTCGACGTGGGATGCTGAGTCTTGTCTGGGCGCTGACCTGCTGCAAGCCATGTCCGACACGCTCTTGCGCTGGCCATGACGAGCATCCGACCCTGCCACTTCCAGAGCCTGACACGATGTCTTGCTCCCACTGCCCGTCTGCCACGTAAATACCGGCCCATGCTGCAATTCTTGCCCATTTCCGCAAAAAGGCCGTTCGCTTCGACAATACCATGTAGCAAAAGGATAGATGCTGCACAAAAGAGCGAGGACGCATCAAGCAAAGAGGAATTACCCAAAGAATACCAGGACAAACCAGACCGGAAGACCAGTCGAAAAAATGCCGGAAAAACTTCGTCGCTGCGCAGTGTGGCAGTCGAAGCACAGCGGTCACGGGCTTTTGTAAAATCCAGAGGAAGGACGCGCTTCATCGATCCAGATGCCCAGACCAAGACTGTGACTGCTTACTGTGCTGCAGAGACATACGACATCTCTGCCGCCGCCCGTCTCGTCAAGGCTCAAGGTTACGACATCGACCCCTTCCAGACGGGCCTGTATCCCCAGGTCATCCACGTACAGACTTCCGACCGCCCTTCTGAGGTTAAGGACTTCCAGCAAGGCGACATCTTCATCTTCCCATCCGGCACAGTCGTAACATGGAACGTCCGCGAACGAGAGGCTTTGAGACTCGTCAACCAAGTGCTCCCCGCCGCAGCTGAAGGATCGCATCTTGACATGCTTGAAACAGAAGACCTCGAATACCTCGAAGACCCCAGCAAAGAAACCAGTGAAGTCGTGGGCGACACCATTGTCTTGGGCACAAAAGCGGAACTCCCCTCTGACAACGCCTCTCCATCAGGAGCAGACGAGCTCGACCAACAGCGCCACGAAGTCGACACCATCCTCGCCAAAATCGCCTTTTCCTCTGGCCTCGCCCGCAGCACCAAGCTCGCCGTCCTCGAAACCCTCTTGTCAGCATACCAGCACTCAACCCGCGACATCCCCACCATGCTCGCCTCATCCAAGACCTTCTCCCCTCGTCGCAGTGCCCCCTTCACCCGCTCCTTCATTCTGCGCAAGACAGGCGAGCTCCTCTCTCTGCGCGCCCAGCTAAATCTCTACTCTGAACTAACCGACTCCATGCCTGACATTTTCTGGGACTCGCGGCACGAGCTGGGTCTAGGCGAGTACTACGACCAAGTCGGCCGCGCCCTCGACGTCGGCGTCCGCATCAAAGTGCTCAACGAGAAAATCGGGTTTGCCCAGGAAATCGCCAGTGTCCTGCGCGAGCAACTGAGCGAAAAACACGGTTTGCGACTCGAATGGGCTATTATCGCTCTCATCGCTGTAGAAGTTGCGCTAGAGTTTTATCGCCATTGGAAGGAAAGCACAGAGAGAGATGATCCCGATAGCACCGAAGCGTTGCTGAGAAAGTACCTCGAAAACTTGGCAAAAGATGAGAGGACAGAGTCTACGCCGCAGCGGGAACAAGCGTAGTAGTGATTTTGCCAAAGAAATAAATGAACAGATAAACAAACAAAGCATAAGATACCCCACTCAAATCAACACTGATTATCCATTTCATTTTGGCTTTTTGACAAATTTCCATTGCACACAACATGAGAGAGAGAGAAAAAAGACGTCTTTGGCTTCTACCGAACCGACCGACCACAGAGCAATGCATAGGCTCAAATATTTACAAAGCAAAGCTTGCCCCACTATTGGTCGTCAATGACGTGCAGATACTTCTTCTCCTCCCGCTTCTCCTTCTCGCTCATCGGCGGCAGATCGTAGTAACTCGAGCTTCGGTAGCCCTTGAGGTACTCGAACGTCATGCTCTTGAGCTCCACCGGCTCAATTTCCAGGTCCTTGAACGTCTTGGCACTCTTGTCAATCTCCTGGTCGATAAACTCGCGCTCAACCTCGTCTGCAGAGTGGATGGGCCACCAGAGCAACTTGTTTGCATAATGCGCAATGGGCTTGAGAATCTGCTTGGGCACGTTGATGTGGCGGCGCGGCTTCATCGCCTCCTTCTCTACGAGCTCGTTCATCTCGGCCATCGAGTACTCGGTAGGGCCGTACAGTTCGTACGTCTCGGCAGCGGTTGTGTCGTCGTGAAGCATGCGCTCAAGAGCCATGCCAACATCGATGACGTGAACCGGACGGAGACGCTCCTGTAGGTTGTTTGAGGTGATGATGTTGGTGGGAGAAGCAAGACGGTGAAGAAGACGATCCTCGAAACCAAACATGGGTGCGGGTCGGACAATGGTCGTCTCTGGGTAGATGGACCGGGCTACCTGCTCACCCCTGGCCTTGGTGCGGTAGAACTCCGATGGCGAGTCGAGGCGGGCACTGTGCGAAGAGACATGAACAAATCGGTCAATGTCGTATTTGGCGACGGCATCCGCGATACGTTCTGTTCCGTGAACATGCACATCCTCGAGCTCGAAGTTCTTGGTGGGGTAGTCACGGCCAATAAGGTTGTAGACAATGTCAGAGTGTCGCACGCTCTCTTCAATCGACGCAGTGTTTCGGAGGTCCATTTCCAGGAAGATGACCCTGCCCAGATCTCCAGCAACCTTCAGATGGCGCTTTGCCATTTCCTCTCGGAAAGGCACTATCACCGTGCATCCTGAACGAGCTGTTCCTTCTAGTTAGCGCGACATGGCTCCTCGATTTCCGTCTTCAGGCATCATGGCATACCCAGTCTGTTCACAATGTATCGTCCAAGGAAGCCAGTGGCTCCAAAGACAGTCGCGGTGTATCCTGAATGTGTGTGAGCGAGTCGTCTAGAATTGCGTCTTCAGGACCGCAGCGCACCTCCGAGCGAGGACCGTCCACCGGAAACAGTCAGAATAGGCTTGCCAGTCCTACACATGTATTAGCGTTTCGTATGCGCGTAGAACAGAGGGGCATATCGCACCTAGTGATCCTGACATCCGAGTTGAGTTGTTGCCGGCAAACTGAGGTGGAGAAGCTGGCTACGCGCTTGGAGGGCAATTGAGCCGACAGCGCCACTGGCGACCGAGCGCAGCGGAGTGGCAGCATGGTTGCGGCGTTCAATGGCTGCTAAGATGTCGAATAGAACGGCTTACGAAGTAGCTGGGATGAAGGGACGTCGGTGGTGATGGGGCTTGGCGCTATGCGCTAATCATAGCTTCCGCCGCAACGCCATCAGAGCATCGGCATCCCGCACTCAAACATACACGCCGCTCTTGTGCTCCACCTCAACACCAACACCGCCACTGCCTTTTGATCAGTCAGCCACAGCCTCTCCCTACCACATTATTGTAGACTGTTCATAATCATGGCTATGGATACAGATGCCATCCCGAACCTTCTGGGCGACGCGCGGGACGAGGCACCAGAGGAGCTACAGGAGTACTTCATCGCCTTTGAGGACTTTTGGGAGCGGAAGCTATGGCACGAACTGACAGATAAGCTTATTGAGTTCTTCGATCATCCCGGGAGTGCAAAACAGCGGATACCCTTCTTTGAGAACTTCATCAAGACATTCGCCAACAAGATCAACCAGCTCAAGCTCGTCACCTTGGGTTTGAATGCTGCATCACAATACCAGGGTAGGCAGAAACAGTCCAGGACCAATGAATTGCCAGTGCTGACTTGAGCAGATGACAAGGAGCGCCTCGCATTTGTCAACGAACTGGCAAAGAGCGTCAACAAGCCAGCCTCACAAGACGCCTACGTATACGCCACAGTCGCTGCTGCCAGCATACAGCTACGGTTACGGGACGAGGAGGGTGCGAAGAAGAAGCTCGATGAGTGCGAGCAGATAATCGACCAGTTCGACTCAGTGGAGACTGTTGTCCATGCCTCGTTCTACCGTGCAAGCGCTGAGTACTACAAGTCGAAGCATGAGTTCGCCGCATACTACAAGAACGCATTACTTTTCCTTGCCTGTGTCGACCTCAACGATCTCGAACTCCGCGAGCGCCAGTCCCGCGCATACGATCTCAGCATTGCCGCGCTTGTCTCCGACTCCATCTACAACTTTGGAGAGTTGCTGCTGCATCCTATCCTCGACTCACTGGTCAACACCCCACATGCATGGCTGCGCGATCTTTTGTTCGCCTTCAACCGGGGCGACCTAATGGCCTACGATGTCCTCTCGAACAACATTACAAAGGTTCCGCTTCTCAAGGAGCACCAGACCTTCCTCTACCAGAAGATCTCTCTCTCCGCCCTTACGGAGACGGTCTTCCGCCGCCCACCACACGACCGCGCTATGACCTTCTCCGAGATCTCTCAAGAGACCAAGGTACAGCCTAACGAGATTGAGCATTTGATCATGAAGGCACTGAGCTTGGGCTTGTTGAAGGGTCAGATTGACCAGGTAGCGGAGATTGCGCGCATCAACTGGGTACAACCAAAGGTGCTAGACATGAAGCAGATTGAGGGTATGAGGACACGGCTTAAGGAGTGGGATGCCAGCGTCAACCAGCTAGGCAACTGGATCGAGGGTGTGGGCAAAGACGTCTGGGCTGCTTGAGTGGGGCTTGACCATAGCTGGCCACATCCATCTTAGATCTTACTGGAAAAGAAGGGGACAGTCTCCAGTCCGCTGAGGCATGACACCTCATAACTGCAAAGGAGACTCACACTATGTAATCATAGATAATCGGCGTCATAGTCTGACACGATTGACGAATGAAAGGACTCATCATGACACGAATACTGTATCTTTTGTTGGCTTGACCATATTTGTGATGATATCTCTAGACCTTCTCGGTCACAGCGTACTATACAAATACCTCTTCTACCTTTTAAGCCTCCCAACATACACAGTTCTAATAATCCCACA